ATTCTTTAAGTATTTGCAACATTTTGTTTTATTTCAGTCAGTCAGCTACAATATAGGACCAGACACATATATTCATCAGTTCAAGTTGCCATACCTCATTAACACAACAAGATCAACAGCGAATTCATAGAAGTAGTAGTGGCAATATATAAAAGAAGGATTGCATATAAGGATATAGTAGAGAAAGAAAGAATTAGTTGGTAGAAAGATATAAAGCGATTTTAATCTCATAGTTTAAGGGAAGATAGAGAGTGTATACACATAAGCCATTGTGATCACCAAGAGTCTCCAAGCATTGGTTACGATGGTCACGCGTACTCCAACTAAGTAGTCTGCATCTACCAACATGGCTCAAACTAGAAGTTAGTGACTTCAAGCACTGATTGCATGTTTTGATTTGGCCACACTCCTAACTTTGTTCCAACCGTCTCCAACGCTAGTCACTATTGCGCGTAATCGATGTTCAAGCATACGTACCACGTGGCCCAACCATCTTGGTCGGTGAAGTTTTTACAACCTCATCGAATGATTTTGCTGATTGATATAATCAGCGGTGTTATTATTGATCTGTTTGAACTGAAATTCACCTTCCCGTAGGTTCTAGATATCTACTTATAATTCTACTAATTACTAGTTATGACTGCCAGTGTTGATTGAATTTCATGGAAAACATTCTAATGAAGTTTATTTAATTTTAGATGGTTAGAAAAAATCACCAAACATGCTTTACTCGTCACTTATTATAGATGTCTAATTATTTAGGAGGTGAGGAAGTAGCTCGAATAGTTCAATGGTAATGTCTTTGATAATGGTTCACATCTCTTTCCAAAACAAAATCACAATGAAATTTTCAATTTCCGTCGATAGACCTTACTGATGATTCCCAACTAATATGAAACTAATGAATTGTCTTCAATATAATACATTGCAATATCAAATTATCGAAACTAGTAATCATCTTATAATTTGTTTAATAAAATTTAATCAACTCTAAATAGTAGTGTATTGACCAGAGATTATTTCAGTTATGTTATTAATGTGGCCCGTGTGCCTTGTATAACGTGGTGATACCGTCAATTAGAGAACACTGAATTATCGACCGGACCAATGGTGCATAAAACAAGTATGAGCAGTCTAGAGTCTTCCCTGGTCCTTCTTACCGTCTAATCCTACCTGATGGAGTCCAGAACACCGATCTCAGCCTCTATGATATGAATTATTTATTTCAAGCATACTCAGTTTATATACCAATCAGATAGACCATATCGTACCAATAAAATAGGAAACAACATTTGTACAAGAATTAGCCAAATGTGGCTGTGAATGAGTGAGGCAGTAATTAATATACTGGGTATAACTCAAAAATGGTAAGTCGTATCATAATAGTTCATATATCAAAATAAAGCTCATGATAAGAGGGACATGAATATGTATAGTTTAATTGCTTAACAATTAAACGATAAAAAATATGCGCATAGTATTAGTTTAAAAATCGTTTCCAATAGTTACCATTCATTATACTCATAGAAATATAACAAGTTATTATATACATATTCTATTGATTATTTATATTCATTATTCATTTATATATTTGGTTATTGTTTTATGATTAGTTATGATTACGAATAATGAAAATAAAGAAAAGAAATTTATTCAATCATCTATTGATCTTTATCAATATCTAATCAATATAAAATTAAATATCATAAAAGAACAATGTATTGAACGTGATCAATTATTAAAACAATTTCTACCGGAATTAATGAAAAAATTTAATGAAATTAATCAATATTTTCACAATGATAAAATGATGTAATCAATGAATGATTGAAAAAAAAAATCGAGAGGAAACATGACAAGGAACATGATGATGTTGATGATGATATGGAATAGGTGAAATGAATATGGTTTTAATTAGATGGAAACTATTTAGTTATTTTGTTTAATAAAATAAAACAAAAATAATAATCATGAAACATTTGTTTATTGGCTTTTTTTTTTAAGACTCAGCAATTCACATTCACGATCCCACCTTGCGGGAATCAGTGGTTTAGAGGTGCGAATACCGAAAGGTTCTGGGTTCGAATCCTATGGTTGGGATCGTACATATGCATTGGTGAGGAGTCTTATAGTAGGACAAAATGACCATTTAGTATTTCAGAGTTTTTCATAGTGGTTTAACTTTAATTGAATCATGAACTTAATTATTAAATTACTACGATCTCTACAAAAATCTTCTTCTAAATATATATATATATTTACATACTTATACATCAGAGGGTGATGAAGGATGAATATATGTAACATGATGTAGCATTGCATAACAATCTAATGTGTTTTTAATCCCATGAGTTCTAATCGCTATTTCAATGTTCTGGAACCTTCCCTCTCAAGCTCTATAAACTCGAACCAAATTTGTATGACCTCATTAACTTTAACAAAATCTTTGCTACATCATGATACATATATTCATCCTTCATCGCCCTCTGTTGTATAAGTATGTCCATATATACATATAATAACGTTGAATTTCAAATAATTTAGGTTGTAAGCAGCTGATGAGAACCTAACGAAATAAAATGAATTCATAGATTATTCTGCACCAATCTTTGTTCTAGCTCTCTCTAAAATGATATCTAATAGTTGCTTTTTGACTTTTCCAAGAAACTTGAAACACGATAATCAAACGAGCGTATACTTTGCAAAGTTTAGTAAAATTCATCTTTATAAATTTGTTAAGACTCGTTGACATTGATAAACATGTTTTTGTAGTGTAACCTTACGATCGGTATATTATAGTATAAAAGTTAAGTTATAGGGAACACGTATTAGATGGCATATGAAGTGGAAATTACAATTTCTGTAAACTTCATGTGATTCAAAGCATTATTATGAGTGTTTATTAATGAGAAAAAACTGACCTTGATAGCATCGTTGGGGATCTAACTCCCAATGATGATGATGGAACCTAGGTCACAATCAACTTCAGATATTTACTTAGAGTTAAAAGTTACGTGAGGAACAAGGTAAAAGTAATGACTTATAGGAGCATACAGCCCAAGAAATATACACAATGTACAGAAAATATACATCCCGTTATTCATATGAGAAATACTTAGGCATGTTATCCCTCGTGGAGGAACATAGGCCGCCCATCAGCATTCTCCATCAAAATCTGTCCTGGACAATCCTTTCCAGTTACTATTCATTCTTCTCATGTTTGATTTAGATTCCCAACGCAGTGTGTTCGTTGCTCTTCCTCTTTCACGTTTCCATGTTAGCGCTTGCTTCGTGATACAGTTTGGTGATTTCCGTAATGTATGTCCTATCCACTTCCAACATCTTCTGATTCCTTCTTCAGTTATAAGTTGATTTTTTTTTCTGTCACAGTAGATTGTTGCTGATAGTATCCAGTCAGTGGACCTAGTATATTTTACGTAGAAAATTGTTTATAAATATTCGTACTTTTTTGATAATGGTTGTGGTAGTTCTTCACGTTTCAGCTCCGTACAGTAGAACTGTTTTGACGTTCATATTGAAGATCCTGATATTGGTTGATAGTTGTTTTGAGCTCCATATGTTGTTCAACTGTAAGAATACTGCCCTTGCTTTGCCAATCCTTGTCTTTATGTTTGCATCACATATGAGAAATAGCACAACATAATTCAAAAGAACTAGAAATCAAATATATACAGATCAAACCTGAATAGATTGCATAGGGATTTACTCAAAATTGATACATTCCAAACCATAAAAAAATGCCTTGATTAGCAATTTGAACTTTGTTTACCTAAGATTTCATCAACCATAAATGAATGAAATTAAACAACTAGGCATTTGTTTGTGAACTCCTTCATAACTTTATGGGATATGCAATTTTGCAAAGGCTAGTTAACCAGACTACTATTCGACTACTTGAATCAAAAAAAGGTAGAGTGAAGTTGAAAGACTTAATCATTTCATCATTTGAGGTTCAGTATAACACAATACAGTATCAACCGATCAAATTTCATTAACAGCAGAAAATGATTACAAATAGAATAAATGACAACCAATTGCATTAGATATTACAAATGAACATTGTCAATAATAATCAAAGGGAATAAGAAGAATATGGTAACTACGATGGAGGACAAAAAAATTGGATTATAGTACTTTAATTTTAGAATTAATGTAAAATGTGCAATCAGTAGACATATTATGCAATTTCATTGTCGGTCATGGTGAAATATCATATGAAGGTTATTAGTGGTAATATTTAATGTGTTAATGAACAGAATAAACATTGATTCACATCAGTTCGTCCCAAAAACAAAAAACCATCTAAATCTTCATGTTTAATACTTAGAAACCTTGAATTCAAGCTTCATCGAAGTTGGTGCTCATCAGCAAAGTGTACTTGTAAATTCGAAGCAACTGATGCTCCATAGTGAATTCAACACAGTTTCATTAGGTCAGTCCAACCATCTAGTATTTCAAAAAAGTCCATGCGACAATGACCAATCTACATGTTACAGATCCATATATAAATAAAAAACATTTAATACATAAAAACAGAGATAAGTGAACAAATGAAAATTTGGTTATACACTAACCGTATAAATAATAGGGATGTTATATTTACAATAATCCTAATGAGTAACAAATAAAATTCCTGACGTTTAGTGACTCAGTGAAAGTCACCTCTTCAGAGAATGAAAAAAGATAACTATTTAAATATTTATACCACCCAGCTTCAATGGATTTCCCAAGATTATGCAATTATATAGTTAGCCTACAAATGAATTCATTAAACACATATACCGTATCTACAACTAGTTGGCGAATTCGGTTAAAACGTGTTATTTAATGACTTATCTTCATTATTGATGGTACTTGATGGGTACTGAAATTCTACATGATATAAAAATTATTTCTTTAGATATACAGAATTATTAACCTTAAGCTTAATTACAAAGGATTAATTTGACCGGATTATAAGTGAAATAGAAAGTACTGATAGTAGTACAATTTTATATTGATCATATAAATTGTTGAAACCATCTATATATCGAAAAAAGAAAGATATCAATATGAGTATAGTGAATAATTCATACAAACTATTCAACCAGTTTCATATTTCAAACTTTCAATCATACAAACAAAATTGAAAGTATTTTTCAATATAGGGTTGTTAGTCAGTCAGTAACAACGTAGAACTTCATACGTACGTATATCAGTTCGAGTTACCATACGACATTAGTACAGAGATAGAGTTGTCGATTCAAATCCCATAGTGGTAGAGATAGTAAAAATATAAGCAGTAATAGGAAACATTACGGTTTGAAGATGTTATTCAAGGAGTATAATCCAATGAAATAAGTTTGGAAAGAGAAAAAAAAGAGGGATATGAAGAATTCAGTAGATTAGAATTTAGGAGAACACAAAGAGTGAATGCACCTACGCCATTTCAAACGATTTTGAGCAATATTACAATTCAAGGTCTCTCACCATCGATTGCTAGGGTTATTAGATTACTAGGTTTTCAATGATACTTTAACATGGATAACTTTATGATTTCAATAAAATATAAAAAGAAAAAAAGTAAAAAAAAGAAACGGATTTCAAAATCAATATTTTTTTATATTTTCTCACTCACTAACACAAAAAAGAACATTTACTCTGATATATAATAAAGAGTAAAATGATTTACATGAATATTAATGTTGTGTTCCGATGTAAATGAATAGATTGTCTATAGTTCAAATGAACAAATAATCATTACCATTAATAGGAAGTAATAGAATACACTTTAAACAAAACATATACAATAGAGCAATACCATGCTCATATGATTTTGAGATGATGGAGAAAATTTATAGCTCAAAAGGATAATTTTAATGAAGTTTTGTTCTCTGAGATGAATGATCGTGGACCTCTTATCGTTCATCTGAATATGACATCATCACAGCAAAAACTTCAGGTAGACGTCTTCTACGATGAACAAGGTAAGCTCCACGATCAAACTATCCAGCTCTGAGAACAAAACTCCATCAAAAATAGAGTAATATATAGAAACATATATATTATATATGCAAAATACGTTATAAATGCATTTGAAGCAAAATAATAAAGGAGGCAAACTTTTCTAAAATAAATCCCATTTCTTCTTATAACATGGGTAAAAGGAAATAAGGAAAAGAAAAAACAACAACCCATGAATCATAGACGAATAATGATAATAATAATATCTAATCTTGAAATGAATGTAGTGTATACACATCTAGAAAGAATATTTTATCACAACAACAACAACAACGGCAAGAAAAAGAATGGGGGGTGAAAAACAAAACATGGTAATCATAACAATAATAATAATTGGACGTGTTTTTGTAATCATCTTCATGTAAGAAAAATCAACTTTGCCATAGCAGATACCTTTTATAAAGTAAGGAGAATAATGATGATGATAAAAAGTTGGAATCATGTCATTATAATCATTGATCAATCCATAACATAATGAACAGCAGTTAATAGTTACATAATATTTATAAACCGGGGTTAATATCATGCAAAAGAAAAGCAGGCAAAGATGAACATATACAAACAGATCATATTTCTATAATAAACTTAATGTACACAAATGAATCATCGTAATGGATTACTTAATAATTGCAAAAGAAAAGAATGTATATATCCATAGATACATGATTGATACTCTTTTATTATCAATCTATTCAATGAAGATACAATGATGATAGTGATCATTGGAAACAACTTCAGAAAATGTGAGAGAGAAAAAACAATAATACATCGATTAACAATTTTCAACGAGAAAAACAGTGATGAGGTAATAAACAAACAAACAAGCAGATAAAAGAGGAAGAAGAAGAAAAGTTCTAAACATATAAGTATGTTTATACATGATATAAGTAGTATCTGAAAGACTAAAACATTTCTCTTTATATAGACGGAAATAAATAAGAATTTCTAAATTAAAAAAAAAGAAAAGTATCAATCATGTTTGTTTAAATGTTTTCAATGAAAAATATTACTGAAATGATCAAGTAATATAAGTGATTAATGAGAAATAAATAAACAAAGAAAAGACTAATGAGGTATCCATTTACAACAGTTATATTATACATTAAAAATCGATGTGTTCTATGCCTTATTGCTAACAACAAATGAATATATTTAAATATCAAAATATTGTAATAGATATACAATATGAAGGTAGATTAGTTGTAAAAGAGATAGAGAAAGAGAGAGGAGGAGGAGGGAAGGAAAAAAAACTCTTCAGTTACACTTGGAATACAAATGTCAAACAATACATAACAACAACAGATATTTGAATGTATATATGTGTAACTGTATGTAAATATAAAAAATTACTAATATTAGCAGTATAACCAAGAAATATCATGAAAGCGTACAAGCATAATATCGACTAGAAATGATTATTCGATATAATAGATGGTGGAGTTGACGGTGGAGATGTTGTCGTTGTTGTTGTAGCTGATGTTGCTGATGAAGATGAATTCAAGTAAACACTTGTAATCATTGGATCATCTGGTATAAGACAAAGATCTTCTAATGGACCAATTGATTCAGTCATAACAGCTGGTGGTAAATCTTTCCACATTGAATATAATTCACCATTGATAGGACAATATGATTTATCATAATTCACTATTTTGTTATCTGTTGTTGATTTTGGTGTAGATACAGTGGAATTTGATGGATCAGATGGAGGATTTGGTTGAGTAAATTTTAAATAACTACCAAGCGTAAAACGATTAGCATTATTATTATTATTGATACTACCATTATGTTCAGTGGTACTATTAGTGTTATTAGTCATTTCTAATATTTTATCAGAATCCAATGATGATTTTCTAAGCATCAATTCATGATTATCGGTTTTCGATTGAAGACGTTGTGATGTCAGTAGACTTTCATATTGATATTCCAATTGTAAATAACCTTGTTTACGTTCAGCTAGTTGAGTTTTAAATTCCATTTCACGACTACGCCACATAACACCATCGGCTTTACGCTAAAATTTTCAAAAGAAAAAATTAGTAGTTAAAAAAAGTAGTTAATTGTGACGTTGTCGTGAAACAATGAGAAAACAAATCAAGCATAGAAATTTGTAATTACAAAGTGTACTTTCCACAATGTTATTGTTTGAAGGTATTAGACTGTCCAATCAGTGAGTCAATATTTTAGAACCCTACTAGATCGCCACTGCATTACATTTAATTAAATGTGAATTTAAACAGGATCAATACAGAGGGTTCAACATGGATTGTTAGTACAGGTTGTTCGATTTCGAGATGGGAATGTAGAAACATCGAATCGGAATTCAATAGTTTAAAAAAAAATTGTGCTCATGAGAAGACCCAAAGATCTTTTGGTAAATAGGATGGACTGTTTAACAGACTTAAAATATAACAAAGCTACTGTCCAGTACTCCGACGTTTTCACTGATTTCAGAGCTGATGTTAATCCAGAAAAATTATATCGGAGGGGTTACATTTGTAAGAAAACTAGTTTATCTTGTGATTCAGTGAAGTAAAGTGGCAATAATAACAATAATAACAGTAATGCATATTAGTATCCTAGTTGAAATTAGAACCAGGCTTGCAGTGCAATGAATCTGAACATTTAATAGGGTTGCCAAAAAAATAAGTAACGAATATTGATTGATAACTGAGTAGTAGACGATTTCGTGTTTGCTATCCAGTTCTTGGTGTTGATCAAATTTTATCCATCAACTTGAATGCAGCCAATAGTCTAAGTGAATTTATATTGCCTAGTATTATAGTTTGAGGTTAGAGGACTATGAAAAGACTGGACCTAGATTTCGAGCGAACTAGGAATCATCAACAAGGGATACTTGGAAATTAGATGCTTTAGACCGTTCCGCCATCTAGTTGATAAAATTATGTTAGGAATGAAGATAAGTAAGAAATTGGTTAATACACAGTGACTATTCTATGCAAGTATTTCAGTTCTACAGCGAATTATTCGTAGCGTGAATAGTTTAGTGGCAACATCTAATATTATCGAACGAATGTGACGTGGATCAAATCCTACAAGAGCATTAGTCCTCTCAAGATTGATACTTATTATTACATGGCCTCTAAAATTACTGAAGTTATCGACCGATGATCTGAATCATTGTAGTAGGTACAGTTTACCCAGTTGCGGTCCACGCTATTATTGTGACGGATAGTTGCGAACGTTAGCTGATAAACCTCAGAGTCTATTTCAATGATGTAATTACATTCACTCTTTCTTTCCCATTATATCATGAGTTTTAGAAACATTTTATACACCTTATCCATTTTATCAAGTCATTTTTTTATACCGAATCTTCACTATCACCAATACTTTTGATACTCAGGTATTTACCTTGATAATTTTGTTCTCGATGTATAGTTGCAGTGTGACAACTTGAGCTAATGTATATATTTACCAAGTTCCATATTGGTTATAGCTGACTTAAGCAGCTGAATATTAGTGTGGCCGGTAAACTCTTACAGAATATATACTAGTTACTGTCTAAAGCTTAGAAATCACTTACACATAATTATTTGGTCATTTCATCTTAATAATGGTAAGAATTATTGCATACCGGTAAGAGTTGTCGTGCTGCTGGAGAGTGAGTTCAGTTCAACTGGTCACAATAGCCATACCACAGGAAGTCAGTCAGTCAGTAACGTAGAACTTCGTACGTACGTACGTACGTCAGTTCGAGTTGCCACACCACATTAGCACAGAGATGCAGTGGTTGATTCAAATCCCGTAGTGGTAGAGGTAATAAGAGTATAAGCAGTAATCGGAAAGATTAGTGTTTGGAGATGTTACTTAAAGAGTAGAATACAGTGAAATAAACTTGGGAAGAGAAAAAAAGACACAAGGGAGGATCAGGAGATCAAAATTTGGGAGAACACAAAGAGTGTATGCACCTGCGCCATTGCAAACGATTTTGAGCCATGTCATTCAGAGTCTCTAATTATCGGTTGCTATCATCTCGCGGTCCCCAACCAGGTAGTCTACACCTACCGACATGAGTCAGTCCACTTATCAGTGACTTCATGGACTTGTGCCATGTTTTGGTCTGGCCGCCCCTAGCTTTCTTCCAACTTACTCCTATACCACTGAACATTGCACGTCGAGGCAGTCGGTTGTTGGGCACACGTAACACGTGTCACAGCCATCTCAACTGATGAAGTTTCACTACTTCATCAATTGATTCGCCATCCTTACCTAGTACCCGTTTCCTAACAACTGCATTACTTACTCGATGGTCCCAGGATATACGAGCAATAATTCGAAGACACCTATGATCAAATACTAGTAACCTACGAATATCCTCTACGCTTACCGGCCATGTTTCAGTGCCATAAAGCAGGACGGAACGAACTGCTGCGCAGTAAACCCGTCCTTTGGTTGATAGACGGATATCTCGCCTACGCCATAAATGACGCAAGTTAGCAAAAGCTAGTCAAGCCTTCTGTATCCGTGCTGAGATTTCGTCACACACCAGACCATAAGGGCTGATGAGACTTCCAAGATAAGTGAAGCGATCGACACGCTCAATTACTTCACTCATTAGTTCGGGTGTCGATGCAACCCAATCCTGAAGCAACATTTTGCATTTCGAGGGAGAGAATCGCATCCCGAACATGCTTGCATTGTTGCTTAGAGTGGACAGAATACTCTGCATTTGGTCAGCGTCTTCGCCAAATAAAACTATGTAATCGGGATATTTTAAGTCAACAAGTGAACCTCCTGGTAGAAGTTCAACCCCTGGAAATTTAGATGAGGAGAGTGTTATCTCTAAAAGTACGTCGACCACAAAGTTGAACAACAATGGAGAGAGTGGACAGCCCTGACGAACACCACTTGAGGTAATCAATTCTGATGACAGTTCGCCATAAGCTCTCACTCTACCAGTTGTGTTCGAGTAGAGAGCCTGAATAAGGTTAATGTACTTCTTTGGTACTCCTTTCATTGACAAACACTGCCATAGAACCTCACGGTCAACAGAGTCGAATGCCGCCTTAAGATCGAGAAATACTACCATTGTGGGGCGTCTAAACGTGTGTCTGTGTTCTAGAACCTGACGTAGTGTGAATATTTGGTCTATACAACCACGTACAGGTCGAAAACCGGACTGATTTTCTCTAGTCTGGTCTTCACGAGCTTTGCTTAGGCGTCGAAGTATTATTGAAGCTAATATTTTAGACACTATATTAGTCAAACTGATTCCTCTGTGATTGTCACAAGAGGACTTTTGTCTTTTCTTATAAACTGGCACAATCAGTGATTGAGACCAGTCAGATGGGATTACGTCCAGTTCCCAAATTCTACCTAAGACCTCAGTTAATCTCACTGCTAATACTGAACCACCATCCTTAAAAATCTCAGGAGTAAATCTGTCAGGGCCTGCTGCCCTACCTCGCTTCAGATTTCCTATGGCTTTTTCAACTTCATAAAGAGTCGGAGGACCTACATTAACTTGCCACTCAGGTTGACTAGAGATCGTGGGAAATCGAAGTGTGGCTGAAGGCCAGTTGAACTGATCCCTAAAATGTTCTACCCATCGATCCAATTTCCTGGATTGAGAGTATATAATATGTCCATCTTTCTCTGAGAGTGTTTCGCTAACAGTCGGTTTCCTAATACCGGTTTCCTTAACAAGTCTGAACAATTGTCTGCTATTACCTACTGCCGCTGCCTTTTCCACAGGAATATTATGTAGGTATGTTTTTATCAATGTTACAGCACAAAATTGACAGAGAAAATATCAACAAATATGCATCGAAGAAATCGGTATGTATTAATGATAACTAATCAGTAAACTCATTCACCAGGTACTTGTGTATGACATGAATATATTTTAAGTGTGAGGACTGATGATAGTACTCAATTCCCCAAACCGGAGTAGACAGAGTGGTGTTCAAACCTGAGATTTAGTGGTTTTGTGATGAATTGCTATTTTTAGTATATACTAAACAATTGTTCTAACGTTTCTAAAGTATTTAAAATGTTAACCTAGTCGTAAAATATGGTACTCACTTTGAGACTGAATGTCGATATGTAGGCTTAAGATACTATCTGCCACTTTCATACGAAAATAGAGTTCAAACGCATGAAGACTTAGTACAAAGTTGAATGTTTTAAATATTTCCAGATGGTTGAAAACCGTGAGTGACATGAAATTCACTGAGACGTTATTTAGAATGTTTTGTGCTTTGATTAAGTAAACCAAGTACAAGGAGATAACCTTATCAAGGTACAACAACTGGATAGCTTCTTTAAAAAGTAATTCAAAATACTATTTGAATATGATATACGTGAAGATTCTTCAGAGATACCCCATAGTTTTTTTAAGTTCATGTGATACTGAATGATGATACTTCAATGCGATAAAATTTACAGTTGTGAGAAAGCTAATTCCAGAAGAAAACCTACTCACGCATATTCAGCTAGGAGACTAGATAAAAGGTTAATTCATCAACAACAAAAAATAAGGGCAAGAAACCAGAACATGATAGAAGCTGAAAATATGAACAATGAAATTTCAACTTTCAGTGATCCACAAGAACAGTAAAAATAGAAATCGACTTGGAAATCTTACACAGATTTCATCAGATCAGAATTGTCATTATGCACTACATAGTACTAACAAACTAGAACGAAACAACTGTGCAATGGTGCTTCCTGGTTTTACATGTTACTGAAGTTGATTTTAGTTACCAGTAACATGGAAGCTGGCACATAAGGGGTAAGGTCCAAATTGAAAAAGCAAATCAACACTGTGAGGTGAAATTATCAAGACAAACATCAGCGGTAGAATGATTAGTTATAGAAAATATTAAGCATAGAAAAGATTTGAGAGGAAAAAGAGAATGAATATGTGGAATAAAATGCATAAATCCTTCAAGTCAAAGAGTGAGCTATGTGGCACAATATTTTCAACCTCTGATTATGATAATCGTACCTACTTACATGACTAATTTCAAAAATCAATAAATACCACATATTAAAACAGATTTCGGTAAACAACACTGGTTTTATTTAAATCACTGTCAGAATTTACTAGTCATATATAGTTACCAAAATTTCAAAACAATATCATATGAATATATACGATGAGCAAAAGAGAGAAACACTATAAACAACAGAATTTAAACCATCTTATGATTATTAATAACAAATCATCATTTGATACACTAAAGTTTATTTTTAATACAAACAATGTAAATGGAATAAAATACTTAACTTTCTAGCAGTTGTTATGAATTATTTTTTTGTTCTAATGAATGAAAGTAAATATAATAGTGTAGAAATGGTGGAGAACACTTGTAGCTCAGGTAGATATTATTGCATTCTCTGAGCTGGACGGTTCAGTGTTCTGGAAGAGATTATTGTCTCTTAATTCAAGTGTGCATACAGAATAGACGTACTATCTATCAACATTGATATAACTCATAGATAGATAAAGGTTTGAATGGACACAAACTAATTGGGTCAGGTTCAGTAACTGCCATCAGTAATTGAGAACATTGGTAGATACGAACACATATACAGTGGTTAGCGGTGGAATCTAGGAGAGACGTTTCGTTCCATTTAAGACTTGTCAGCTGGTTGTGTCTGTATCCTAGAGTCGGTGTTCACTACGGGATTTGGACTGAGTAACTTTTGCTTCAAATATCAACGCATTAACCACTTACCTGCATATCTAATCGTGCCCAAACAAATTGATCATTCACAATCCTAAACATTAATGAGAAGATTTAAGCATTCAATACAATGAGTTAGTAAAAACGGCCTAAATTCGATTGTAATGGCACAAATTCATTCAATTTTCAGTTTACACTATATCTTTCTGTACTTATGTTTTATCCATTCCATTTAAAGGATATTCGCTAAAACTAATGACATACATTTTATGACAAAAATGATAAAAGTATGTATATGATTAAATCTGTTCGTTTTTTTTCGTAAAAAATAACGTAACTGTTACCTTCGCTTCTATATCAGCACATTTCTGTTCTAATTGCTTTAATTCCAGTGTTAATTCACGTTCTCTTGTTTGAAATGCTGTACGTGATTCGAGTAGTTCAGTGACACGTTTATCTAAACGATCAGCTCGACGATCAGATAATTCTTGTTGTACAGTTAAATCAGTAATCTGATAAATTATGTTTTTTTGGATAAAAACAGCAATAAAATGACAAATGTAAGATAGTTGATAAAAATGATGATTAGAAAGAATATAAAAAAAGTATAGATATTTAAGAACATTTATGTCCAACAAATATACCTGGACAAATTTTATAGACTAATGGGCTAATGGTGAGAGGGATTGCTCCATCAACTAATAGATTGCGGACTCGAACTTCATCGAGTAGTCTACATCAATTTCAGCAACCGAATAGTACCATGGAAGCATATAACTGAAAGTTAAGTATTTAAATCAGTAATTCATATATGATTTATATTAGGTACGAGTAATACATTCAACATCAAGCTGTGATTTCATCTTCATGTATAAATAACGTTATTCAGAGGAAGAGTTTCAGTTAGTCTACAGAATTTAAACATATAGGTCGCCTGTTAACGTTTACTTCTAATGAGTTTACTGACTTATCAACTTTCCAAATACAGCACTGACAGAAAATCTAATATATAAATATACTTAAGAAAAGGAATATACACTGATTTTAAAGTATAAGAAAGATCTCATAGCTAGGATATTAGTAACATTATTGACAAGTATATTCGATCTTCCACGGTAGGGATGATTTTTGATAACAGTTAATGAAGAAAAAAATTTAAGCTAAACTAGTGTCAACATGATGCTAAAATTTATAAGAAAATTGATTATTTTAATAGTTCTTGTCAGTAACACGAATAAAATTCGTATCCACTGTACCTATTTCATATCAATAGTTACATGATCAATATTTTGAGATTAAGTCAAACATTAAACTTACTTACTTACGCCTGTTACTCCTCGTGAAGGAACATAAGCCGCTCACCAGCATTCTCCATCCAACCCTGTCCTGGGCAATCCTTTCCAGTTCCTATTCATCATTTTGCATATCTGCTTCTATTATACGAAGTAATATGTTCTTTATCCTTCCACTTTTCCGCTTCCTTTCAGGATTCCAAGTTAGGGCTTGCCTCGTGATGCAGTTTGACGATTTGCGTAATGTATGTCCTATCCATTTCCATCGTCTTTTCCTAATTTCTTCTTCAGCTGGAAGCTGATTTGTTCTCTCCCACAAAAGGCTGTTGCTGATGGTATCCGGCCAATGGATGTTGAGTATCTTGCGAAGACAGCTATTTATGAATGCTTGTACATTATTGATTGTGGTTGTTGTAGTTCTCCAAGTTTCAGCTCCATACAGTAGAACTGCCTTGACGTTGGTATTGAAGATTCTCACTTTGATGTTGGTTGACAGTTGTTTTGAGTTGCATATATTCTTCAATTGTAGGAATGCGACCCTTGCTTTGCCAATCCTTGCCTTTACGTCTGCAACTAAGCCTCCTTGTTCATCGTTGATGCTACCCAGGTATGTGAAGGATTCTACATCTTCCAGAGTTTCGTCATCAAGAGTGATTGGAATGCTGTTCTCCGCCTTGAATTTAAGGACCTTGGTTTTCTCTTTGTGTATGCCGAGGCCTACTGATTCAGAGACTGCTGCTACACTGGCTGTCTTTGTCTGCATTTGTTCGTGTGTATGCGATAGGAGGGCTAGGTCATCTGCGAAGTCCAAATCGTCTAATTGATTTCGAGCTGTCCATTGTATTCCGTGTTTTCCCTCAGATGTCGAGGTCCTCATAATCCAGTCGACCACCAGAAGAAAGAGGAAGGGAGAGAGTAAACAGCCTTGTCTTACTCCGGTCCTTACTTGGAATGCATCTGTCAGCTGTCCTCCATGCACGATTTTGCACTGTAGTCTGTCGTATGAGATCAGGATAATGTTGATAATCTTCTCAGGAACTCCGCAGCCTCGAAGAAGTTTCCATAACGTCCTCTTATCCACACTGTCAAATGCCTTTTCATAATCAATGAAGTTGATGTATAGTGACGAGTTCCACTCAAATGATTGTTCGACGATGATCCGTAGTGTTGCAATTCGGTCAGTGCGTGATCGATCCTTACGGAATTCAGCTTGTTGATCTTCAAACATTAGACGTAACATTTTTATTGATTTCATTAACTCATTATTGTGTTCAAAGCTAATTCACTTAAAGATTATACATATGTTAAAGCGGTTTTGTGTAACCCTATGAATATAAGGTTTCCTTTCTATCTTAAAAGTTTATATGCACGTCGTTTAAAAGAGTAATTGAAACCAAGATGCAGAACAAAAGGAGATAAAATAAAAATGCATAGGTTAAAGATCAGCATTAGCCAATCAATATAGAGGTCGTCAGGGCAAGAAGTCAGTCATATGTTAAGAAATTCGAACACTTCATTTCTAACTGAAGTTTATGCTGATAGTGTTGTTCAGAAGAATAATGAAAGCTTCACGACTAAACTAAGCAGCTCAAAGAGTGAAACTCCATTGAAAAACGATTACCACTAGTACTATTGAGCTCTTTTGTTACATGAAATGTATTTACAATTGATTGATCACTGAGTAGTGACCAATGTCATCCTTCTTATTGTTGATCAAATTCTATTGACTAAGTTACCAATTTATAACAGCTGCGCTGGTGTTATAACTTGTGGCCATGTATCCTATTAATATATAACATAATGATACAGCCAATTAGGTAACAGTAATTTTATTGACCGGACCAATAACACGAGCGGTCTAGGGTTTTTATAGGTCGCAATATGAATATGCATTGTTGAGCTACTTAATATATATATATATATATATATATATATATATATATATATATATATATCGTATTGGTCTATAAATAGTCTTCAAAAGTTATTATTCATAATTAACGTCAAGATATAACACCTCCTACTTCTTGGAAGATTCGGAGTTTACATCCAGATTTAAAGTTTTCCGACTTTAGAAAGTAAACTTGTGCACATATATACCCCAAAGTATAACAGAACAGTTGTTCACGTGTGTTTATTTTTCCCTCAGTCGTATGAAGATGAATAAAAAATTATTACATATAAAATAAATTTATACCTGTTGTTTTAAACTGCTGATTTGATTGACGAATCGTGTTTCAAGTAGTCGGTCAGAAAATTTCATCTTAAAATTCGTTTCATGTGAATCCAGTGAGTTTAAAGAACCAATCCAAAGTGAAGAACGTTTTGTATCATTGTTCACACATTTACATTTCCCAAGATGTGCCTTATTACAAAGCGGAAACAAGGGAGAAAAAAATATAGGGGAGGATTATTATTAACTTGACTCTGCTTGGAGACCCTCTTGGGTTACTGCCGGTCCTAAGCCCGGATAAAGGAGGAGGGTTGGGCATGGATGGGGTTAGAGACCCCATCTCTTAGAAAACTAACTCGCTAAAAAGCGCTATCCAGAAAAAAATTATTCAAACAATTTAAGATCTTCCCTGGAAGGTAGAAGTTCTTCATTTAGAAGAACTATTATCCTCATGGTGAAAGCCGAGTTTCTTTGGAAGCCACGAGGCCGACGACTTTTCTGGACAAAAACGACTAACTTCAGAAGAGCTTCTGTTATACTTTGGCTATAAAGAAGAAAATGCCTCACATACACAAGGAGTTGCACTGATGCTGTCCAAACAAACACAAAATGCACTTATAGGATGGGAATCTCATAGACCAAGGATCATCAAAGCCTCCTTCAAAACAAAGAAAGAGGGCATTTCAATAAACATCATCCAATGCTATGCGCCTATCAACGACAACAATGAAGACGCTAAAGATCGATTCTACAATAGGCTGCAGTCAATCGTTGAGAAGTACCCAACAAAGGACCCGACCATTCTGATGGGAGATCTAAATGCCAAGGTTGGAACGGACAACATCGGATATGAGGACATCATGGGACGACATGGACTGGGAGAAAAGAACGAAAACGGTGAGAGATTTGCAAACCTATGTGCCTTCAATAAACTGGTCATAGGCGGAACTATATTCCCACATAAACGCATACAAAAAACTATATGGACTTCATCGGATCACACTACGCAAAACCAAATCGACCATATCTGCATCAACAAAACGTTCAGGAGGAATATAAAGAGGTCGTGAGAACCAAGAGAGGAGCATCAGATCATCACTTGCTGGTCGCCAAGATGAAATTGAAACTGAACAAGTACTAGACAATGGGACGGACAATACCACAGAAGTTCAATACGGCCTTTCTACGGGATACTGACAAACTCAACAAATTCAAGCTAGCAATCATCAATAAGTTCCAGGCCTTTCATGATCTACTCAATGGAGAAGGAACTGGAAGGGGATAAAAGAGGCAGTCACTTCAACATGTCATGAGGTCCTGAGTCACAAGAAGCACCATCACAAGGAATGGATCACTGTTGATACACTGGATAAGATTCAAGAAAGGAGGAACAAGAAGGCAGCAATCAATATCAGTCGAACAAGAGCAGAAAAAGCCAAGGCACAAGCTGAATACACAGTAGTAAACAAACAAGTGAAGAAGAGCATCAGAACCGACAAACGTAAATACGCAGAAGATCTAGAGAAGACGGCGGAAAAGGCTGCAAGAGAAGGGAACATGAGACACCTGTATGACATAACAAAGAAACTCTCTGGAAATCGCCGCAAACCAGAACGACCAGTGAAAAGCAAGCAAGGCAAAGTAATCACCAACACTGAAGAGCAACAAAACAGGTGGGTAGAACACTTCAAAGAACTCTTGAATCGACCAGCTCCACTGAACCCACCCAACATCGAAGCAGCACCCACGATCCTCCCAATCAACGTTGGCCCACCAACAATTGAAGAAATCAGCATGACCATCAGACAAATCAAGAGTGGCAAAGCAGCAGGACCAGACAACATTCCAGCAGAGGCACTAAAAGCAGACGTAGCGGCAACTGCACGGATACTCCACACACACTTTAATAAGATTTGGGATGAGGAACAAGTACCAAAAGACTGGAAAGAAGGACTTCTGATCAAAATACCGAAGAAAGGCGATCTGAGCAAGTGTGTTAACTATAGGGGCATCACTCTTTTCTCAATATCGGGAAAAGTCTTCAACAGGGTATTATTGAACAGGATGAAGGAGAGCGTAGACTCCCAACTTTGAGACCAACAGGCTGGATTCGACTGCATCATGAAGACTTTAACATCCGAAGGGAATCATGGAATACAGTGGACAGCTGGGATGCAGCTGGATGATCTAGACTTTTCTACCACAAACGCAACAACAAGTGCAGGAGAAGACAACCAGAGTAGCAGCAGCAGTACGTCTCAACATAAACAAAGGAAAACCAAGATTCTCCGATACAACACAGCATGCACCGATCCAATCACCATTGACGAAGAAGATTTGGAAGATGTAAAAACGTTTACATATTTGGTCAGCATCATTGATGAACACAGTGGATCCGATGCATATGTGAAGGCACGGATTGGTAAAGCAAGAGCAGCACATTTACAACTGAAGAACATCTTGAACTCAAAACAACTGTTTTTCAACCGACACTAAGGTCAGGACTTTCAATACAATGTCAAGACTGTTCTACTGTATGTGACGGAAACCTGGAGAACTACGAAAGTCATCATCCAGAAGATATAATTGTTTATTAACAGTTTTCTACGCAAAATACTTCGGATTCGTTGGCCAGACACTATTAACAACAACCTACTGTGGGAGAGAACAAATCAGATCCCAGTGGAGGAAGAAGCGCTGGAAGTGGATAGGACACACATTGGGGAAAGCACCCAACTGAGTCACAAGGCAAGCCCTCACATGGAATCCTCAAGGCCAAAGGGGGAGAGGAAGACCAAAGAACACATTACGCCGAGAAATGGAGACAGATATGAGAAGGATGAACAACAATTGGATAGAACTCGAAAGGAAGGCCCAGGACAGAGTGGGTTTGAGAATGCTGATTAGCGGCCTATGCTCCATTGGGAGTAACAGGTGTAATTAAGTAATTAATTATGGTTAACTAAAGTGTTTTTGATTAATGATAATAGTTGAAAATTGTGATGTATCGCGAAAGAACTAGGTTTGAAAATGTGAGGTAGTGAATTACGTAAGTCGGTAGATTAAACATATTCCGTTAGCTTGTATAACTCACGGCAGTTAGATACAGCCAGATTACAGGAGTAATGCCCATAAGGCTAGTTAGTTACAATATCCAGGACTTGTGACGTGAGTATAAGCACAGACTTCATGAAGCAACCATTCAAGATGATCTATCTCATAGAGCTGAACGACAGCAAGAGTATATGTGGCGTATAAAAGATCCGCTAGTCATAACATAAATACGATCTAGTGTAAAAATCTATCGTATCAATGTTCTACATTTCCTATCGAAAAAGGTCTTTAGTAAATAGAAATGAATAAATTAATGTTCTACAATAAGATAACGAATTGCTAGCTAACCTGCCAAAGTGAATTCAAATCATCAATTCTTCTTTTTAACTCTTCTACTTGATTTATTAATTCAGTTTCTCGAAGTTTTGCACCAAATAATTCATCTTTTAATACAGCAATTTGTTCAGCTGATCGAAGTGATTGATCCAATTTTGACTGATTTTTGTAGTCATACATTCGATAGGTACAAATGTGTTGTAGAATTAAGAAAAGCGAAGAAAATTATTAGGAGCAGTAAAGTTTGGAAGGAAGTAACAAAAAAAACTTCGACATCATAACAACAACTCATACAATAACCAAGGCGATACACAAGAGATTTTCAACAGGAATTTAGATAGATATGATTTGAAGCTACTTGCATTTTTAAAGTTTCATCTAACTTCATCTATCATAATTCAGTATGAATGACAGTTAAAACGTCATTTGTACTTAAACTAGCATTATAACATATAGAAACACATTGCAGATGAAAATGATCAGCTTCTATGTGACGATAATCGGCAAGGGAAAGTTTATTTTTTAACTAATAAGCAGTCTTTAAATGCCAGAAATCAATTCAAATGATATAGTTATGCAAAGTATTTGAAATACTCTTCTTGCCAATTATATAGAATTTAAAGTATACAATAATTATCAGAAGGAGGTTTTGTGGAGATTTTAGTAATTTAAATTGTTGAGATCACGAGTCGATTGAAGCTAGACCACCATGGAAAACCTGGAGGTACTGGACGGCCATCTTGTAATATTGTGGGACTCCTCAGCAATGCGCGGCCACGATCCCGCTTCGCCAGATTCGAACCCAGGACCTACTGGTCTTGCGCGCGAGCACTTAACCACTAGAACGCTGAGCCGGCCATTAAATCTATTAAAGTTTGTGAACTTGCCATTTAATTATCAATAGAGTTAATAGTAGTACACATCACAAATATATGTAAATCATTCACTAAACTAATTAGGTCTTTATTAGTAAAAAGATATAAATCTTTCATAAAAAAAAGGTAAAATCAGTTGATGAGGTTGTAAAACTTCATCGACTAAGGTGGTTGGGCCACGTGTTACGTACGCCTGAACATCGATTACCATGACGCGCAATAGTGACTAGTGTTGGAGACGGTTGAAACAAAGTTAGGAGTGTGGCCAAACGAAAACGTGGAATCAGTGCTTGAAGTCACTAACGTCTAGTCTGAGCCATGTTGGTAGATGCAGACTACTTGATTAGGGTCCGCGTCACTATCGTAACCAATGGTTGGAGACTGTGGGTGACATGGCTCACAATTGATCACAATGGCGTCGGTATATACACTTTCTGTCTTGCCTTAAACTATGAGATTAATATTGCATTATATCTTTCTACCAACTAATTCTTTCTTCCTGTATTATATCATTATTTGCAATCTTTCTTTCATATATTACCACGATTGAATTAACTACTTCTATGAATTTGGTATTCATCTTGTTGTGCTAATGACGTATGTAAACTTGGACTGACGCATATATGCATCTGGTCCTACATTGTAGCTGACTGACTGACTGACTAAATAAAAGATGAAAGTTTATTTTAACCTATTTTTATCAGAGAATGAGGTATTTAATTAAAATTAAAATAGAAAATTTTACTGACAATGAAAGAACACGTCACTATTTTGTAACTAAGATGAAACATTCATTAATTAAAGAAATAAGAAAATTTTACAGTTTGCTATATTAATTTAACTGACATCATCATTAAGAGTTGATGATATACGACTATAATTGATGAAAAGAATGTTTACATTGAAAGTAAACTTCTCATCAACAGAGATAATCGATAAGATTGTAACCTTGAATCAAATAACATCATTTTTAAGCCGTTCATATCATATTCTATAGACATTGTAAAACTAAGAATTCAAATGTTTTCAAGAGTATAGCAGACAAAATGACACAGTAATCAAAACAATGTTTATGAGCTTAATCTTCAGTCATACTTCCCGTGTGAGTAATCACTAATGACAAATAATGTAGTAAAGATAAAAATAGAAATGACCGTATCATAAGCAGAGATGATGGTTGCTAGCAGTGTAATCCAGTATTAGCGTTACGTCCTGTTTGGGACTCACCAATTGGATGAACCTGAACCTTTAAGTGAATTAAACTAACTCGAAGTTAAATATAATCGAGTTTATGTCACAATCATATATCGACTATTTTACTGACAAGAATCAATAACTGTAAATATTAATTATATTTTTCTCTTATATCCCAATAAATATTATTAAACTTTGATTAATTCTGTTTGTGCAGAATACAGTAAATCTGTTTATTTATTTATTTAAACACAAACATTGGTAAAAGGAGGAACCGAATAGATAGGCGCCACATAAGTCAATTTATTTGTGTGAGGGCTGTGATACTGTCCGGGTGCCTAAACCCAAACCGGTGGTTTTCTTAGGAAGTCGCACCCGAAGCCTTCGACCTGAAGGTCTGATCCACAAAGTAATGGAGCATCGCAAGGACGCTATAACATCGTTGCCGGTGACCAACGACTGGTTCATACGCCATTTGTTCCTTCAAGATCCTGGAGACCATTTACTCCATTGGTTTGAAATCAGGGTTTTCCGACTCGTCTAGGTGAGCTCTCAGTGTCCACCATCCAGGTTAAAGAGCCGGACATTCGCCTTTGATCCTCTCAATTTCGTAAACAACAGTAATGCCTCGAGAATGCAGTGAGTAGGACTTCCCTGTCAGTGGTTGTATGCATGTGATGGCATTTAGACAGAGAGAGTGAACCCTCCCCACTCTCAGTTGTACAATGGCATTTAGGAGAAATTCAGTAATTCTAATCGAGCTATTCAAATTAAACTAAAACTAAATTGATTTAAAACTTTTGAATCCCGCGAGGAGAAAGATCATGGATGCGCATTACTAAGGAGTCCTATACTAAAAAGAAACAGCCGTCTAATGCTTCCATATTTTTCATAGTGGTTTACTTTCAATGGACTCATGAATTTACTGATTGGATAAATATTAATAAATTATTACTTAGTATATCACTTATTCTAAATCATAAAAATTTTTAATAAAATAATTACATAGAAATTACCTCTTCTAATTCATGTAATTTACATCGTAATTCATGTAATATTTTTTTAGTATCTGCTTCATTAAAACGTGAATTCATTAAATCTGTTTGTAATTGATTCATAGTAGTTGATAATAATTCATCATTTTTCATTTCATTATAATGATTACCACTGTTTATTTGATAATCACGATTTCTTGATCTTGGTAATGTACAAAAATCATATGAATTATTTAATTGTTGTTCATGTAATGAAGAAGAAGAAGAACAAGTTTTATTATGATTATTATTATTATTAGTAGTAGTAGTATTAATAGTAGTATAATCATTCTGAATATTATAAGTAGGTGATGAGAAACCATTAACAAGTGATTGATGTACTGTATCATTAATGGTATAATTCTGATTTGTGTTAGATATATTTGTGATTGTTGTATTTGTATTGGAAATAGTAGTATTTATTGTCTGTTCATTCGTTGGTAGTACATCATCATTATTTATTGTGGTTGATTTCTGTAAATGAATTTCGAAAAAAAAACAGAACAAAATTTAGGGGATAAAGAAAAGTGAATTGTTTGAGAGATAGAGAACCAACAAAGATAAATATATCTTTATACGGAGATAATGATTGAAGTATAACTGTTACGATCATTATATCAGGGAATATATTCAAAAAAGCTCCATTTACTGTACGAATTGTTTATTATTAATAGTTGAAGGAGATAGGTAAATTAATATGAACCTAGGAATCTTGTTAGTTAACAATTATAAGAAAGTTTTATCAACAATCTCTAGAAGATTTACGTGCTCTCATAAACTTAGAAGCCGTATCATCTAGTGCCAATTAGTGAAGTTGTCATTTAGCGATTTAGACAGAGGATTAAAGCTCCCTAGATTAGAAGTATTGACATCAAATGATCATTGAATGTTATTCTATGTTATGACTTTTCTAATCTTCCCTTTTATCATACAACTTCATCTACAGATCTGTTAGGTGTCAATGAAAGACAGATGTTTAGAAACCAGAGCTGATTAAACATAATACATAGGTTCTAATTACCAATAACTTCTCAACAACAAATATATCAAAAGTTTAGTGTTATATGTATTATAGGCATATGACACTAGTTTTCTAGCTTGTTACTTAGACCTAGAAGCAGAAAATCAATAAGCTTTGAAATATTTGGCCATTTCTTGATTTGAAAGAACATGGAATTGAAAATCTTTAGAATCTACTGAAATTCATTATGGGAATATACGGTTTCAAAAGAATGAATTTTTTCTTCTTCAAAATAGTTTTTTAGAGGGATATTTATTAACATTCCCTAAGAGGAGGCAAGTAAAATGCACTAGGAAAAAAACAAAGTAATACGGAAATTATCATCGTTGAGCATTATAAAACTTGGCAAAAACTATACATCGTTCCCAATTAACTCATTTAACATCCAATCACTGATAAAAGACCAAACACAGTACAAATAATAAAAAATAGTAACACTGATAGTAAAGAAAAAAATTCAACTGATGTTTGAAATGTGCATTATTTAGGTACTGAAACTCGTTCAGAAAGTCTTGACTTCAGTACTTAGTGGGCTCATGTGTATAGGGTGGTAAGAAGTCCTATGGTAAAAATAAAATAACCGTCTGATGATCACTAGTTTGTTAATAACTGTTCAATGAGAATCAATCCAATAATATAAACTAAATTTCAAATTAAATGAATAAGAAAATTATATCCTGGAAATAATTATGGAATGTATTTCAGTAATTTTCAGAAATATCCTATGAGTTTAAGCAACAACAAAAAAAACGAACATAACTAAGAAATAATAAGTATGGAAAACAATTAAAATTGCTTGGGGGTTGTGGAGATTATTAAGTTTTTGATTGAGATCATGAACCGATTGATGTTAGACCACCACAATTGAAAACCTCGGAGCACTGGACGGCCGTTTCGTCCTATTGTGGGACTCCTCAACAGTGCGCATCCACGATATATAGTATATTCGGTTTATGGTTCAGAGTGGAATCCAGATTAAACGTTTCATCACAATTGGAACTCATCAGGTGAATGTACCTAAGATTAAGGAGTTGATATTCACAATGAGACACATATTTTTCACTTTGAATGCTTAACACATTATCTATTAAGCTGTAAACTATTACTGATACTAGTTTATTCGATTATAAAATCAATTCAATAATAGAGATCAATATGAGTATGGGTTACTTTGAACTACATAAATCTAGTGCAAACAACATTTATGATGTATAACTAATAAGAAAATTATGTATTAAATTAAATTATAATGCGTTGTATTTGAAAAGTATTTAGGCTCTAATAATAATAAAACGAAAAAATGTTAACAATTTATTTGAAACAACTTTGTTTCCATGATTTATCTTATCTTTATTAAGTTGACATATGAAATATTAATGAACAATCATAGAATTATCTTAGATACAACAAATATTTGGTTAACGATTAAATTCTTTTGAGAAGTATTTAATCCCTCTCTATTAAACCTCAACCCCCACCCCTTGTATAACTTTAAATATTAAAATGAGATGATAAAGTGATAGTCAAAATGTAGATCATTTTAATAATAATGAACTAAGCAACATACAGAAAGTAATAATACGTTTATCTACAGATATTTACTGATGAGATTTTCTTTTTAAGTAAAGAAAATGAATAAGGTCTCTCTGTGTCAGATTGGAAACAACAACAACAACATAGTTCATACTTAATTTAGATGAAAAAGGATGAGTATCACATGTTCATTTAATCAAAAGTAAAAAAATGTAACTGACATTTATATGATATGAAGCAAGAAATACAATTACAAACATCATTACATTAAATGCTTTTATCAATTAGCTGTTCATTTTATTATGCTAATGAAGTGTGACAACATCAGTCAGTCAGCTACAATGTAGGACCAGATGCATATATGCATCCGTACAAGTTTACATACGTCATTAGCACAACAAGATGAACACCAAATTCATAGAAGTAGTTAATTCAATCGTGATAATATATGAAAGAAAGATTGTAAATAAGGATATAGTACAGGAAGAAAGAATTAGTTGGTAGAAAGAAAGATATGAAACGATTTTAATCTCATAGTGTAAGGGAAGACAGAGAGTGCATACACCTATGCCATCGTGATCGATTGTGAGCCATGTCACCCAGGGTCTCCAATCATTGATTACGATAGTGATGCGCACCCCAATCAAGTAGTCTGCATCTATCAACAAGGCTCAAAATAGAAGTTAGTGACTTTATGGACTGATGCCACGTTTTGTTTTGTCCGACTCTAACTTTCTTCCAACCATCCCCAACACTAGTCAGCATTGTGCATCATTGTAATCGATGTTCAGGCATACGTAACACGTGGCCCAAACATCTCAGCCGATGAAGATGCACAACCTCATCAACTGATTTGCCATCAATCCCTAATACCCTGCGTCTAACCTCACTATTACTTATCCCGTGATCCCAGAAGATGCGAGTAATATTTCTAAGACATATGTGATCAAATACTGGTAACTTACGAGTACCTTCTACTCTTGATGGTCACGTTTCACAACCGTAAAGTAAAATGGGACGAACTGCTTCTTAGTATACTCGTCCTTCAATTGATAGAAAGATGTCTCGCCTTCGCCATAAGTGACGTAAGTTGGCAAAAGCCAAACGAGCTTTTCGAATCCGTGCTGAGATTTCGTCCGATACCAACCCATTAGGGCTGATCGGACTTCCAAGATAAGTGAAGTTGTCAACGCGTTCGACCACTTCAGTCCCTATCCTTAGTTTAGGTGTTGACGCAGACCAGTCCTGAAGCAACAACTTGCATTTAGTGGGAGAGAAGCGCATTCCAAACATCCTGACATTGTTGCTCAATGCTACCAGAAGACTCTGCATTTTGTCAGCGTCTTCACCAAACAGGACTATTTCATCTGCATATTCCAAGTCGATAAGTGGACCTCCTGGTAGGAGATCAATATCCGAGAATTCAGTCGACGAGAGTGTTATTTCCATCAATATGTCTGTGGTGAAGTTAAACAAAAATAGAGAAAGTGGACAGCCTTGACGGACACCACTTGAGGTTGCAAAAGCAGATGACAGTTCGCCATAAGCTCTGACTCGACTGGTAGTGCTCGAGTAAAGAGCCTTCACAAGGTTTATGTACTTCTGAGGTACGCCTTTCAATGACAGACACTGCCACAGAATCTCGCGGTCTACCGAGTCAAATGCTGCTTTTAAGACAAAAAAGACCACCATTGTCAGACGCCGATAGGTATGCCTGTGTTCTAGAACCTGACAAATGGTGAATATGTGGTCGATGCAGCCACGACCAGGTCTGAAGGGGGCTTGGTTTTCTCGTGTTTGCAGTTCACGAGTCTTAGGCGTTTGATAATTATCGAGGCTAGTATTTTAGATACTATATTTGTTAAACTAATCCCTCTGTGGTTGTCACAGGATGATTTTGACCCTTTCTTATATATTGGGACGATAAGTGATTGCGACCAGTCAGATGGAATAACATCTGACTCCCAGATCTTAGCTAAAATATTAGTCAACCTAATCGCTAAACTTGGACCACCATCCTTAAAGACTTCTGGAACCAATCCATCTGGATAAGCTGCCCTTCCTCGTTTCAGATTAACTATAGCCTTTTAAACTTCTGCTAGAGTTGGAGGACCTACTTCAATCTTCTATTCACGCTGTCTGGGAATGGAGGGTAGTTGTAGAGTAGCTAAAGGCCAGTTGAACTGTTCCCTAAAGTGTTCCGCCCATCGTTCTAAACGTCTGGACTGGGAGCAGATGAGAGTGTCGACTTTTTCCGAAATAGTCTGACTTACACTTGACTTATCAATTCCAGTTTCTTTTATTAGTCTGTAGAGCTGTCTTGTTTTCTCTATAGCCGCCGCCTTTTCCATCTCTTTTGCTTTCGTTACCCACCACTCCTCACGGTCGTTCCATAGACATTTCCTTAACCTAGATCTGATTTGTTTTTGCTCTTCATCATGTTCAGAACCTGATGGGACGAGTTTGTGAGAATCCATCAGTGTGATAGACCTTGAAGAAATCTACTGGTTCTTTGTAACTCTCTGGTTTAAGTCACTAATATACGTCACTGCTGTTTCCACAGCTGATTGTATGCCTTTCCAAGCAACATCTGGGTCAGCCTCGTCTTCAGAACTATCTAAGTGTGACCTCAGTTGTTCCTGGAACCTACTTTTGGTTTTCTCGTTACTCAACTCAGTTCTAACGTGTCTTTTTAATGTGGCTTTTTTGCGTCCAGTGAGGCGCAAGCAGATGCGTGCCCGTATTAGGGCATGGTCGGAGTCCAAGCAGGTACTCCAGGAAGAGCGCCAATCTTCTACCGACCCTCTCCAACGATGACTGATGGCATCATGGTCTATTTGAGTCCAGCGTTGGTTTGGTGTAGGGGGTCGCCATGTTAGACGATGTCTTTCCTTATGCTTAAAATATGTGTTTGCTAAAAAAACGACTGTCTGAGCATAGTTGCAGCAGACGATCACCATTATCTGTTCGCTGTGTTGGAATACTAAAATATTCACCTAAATGCCTTTCTGTTTGGTTTAAACTACATACCTGGGCATTAAAGTCACCCCCTACGAGTACTATGTCTGAGAGTTTAGCTTTCTGAAGAATTTCGGACAGCTTTCTTTAAAATTAATCTTTCCCTTCATCTGAGCTGCAGTCAGTGGGAGCGTAGGTAGAAACGACGAAAAGGCAACGACATGTGTCTTTATCCTTCCGAGTTCTTACGTAGCCGTTTAGCCGAACAGCACATAGACGACTGTTGACTGCTTGTTCGGCCCTCATGCTTAGTGCTATGCCTTCTCCTGCCAGTCCACGAGAACTGGCCCTCTGGTCACCATATACCCCCGGAGGGTGTATCTCGTTGGCTCTGCGTTTTACCGAGGTGAGGTCAAGTAAATAACAACACTGGAATCCTGTATGCATCATTGAAGCATCATCTAGTTTGTTTTATTACCGAGAATTAAAACATCACACAGTTTTACCAATTATTCCAAGACTCAATAGCTAAGTGGATAACGCGGTGGCGTTTGAAGTGAATGGCACTGAGTTCGAGTCCCAGAGTCAACATCAACTCGGAGATGCAGGTACAGCCAGCTGACGACTCCAAAATAGGACGAAACACGCATCCTGGATTCCACTGCTAGCCACTATCCATATTTGCCCCCTGAATGCCCTGGTACGGCCGAGAGTGAGGAGAGTCCCCTCTCCCTCTCCAAATGCTCTCACATGGCCACGTGCATACAACCACTGACAGGGAAGTCCTACTCATAACATTCTTGCGGCATTACTGTTGTTTACGAAATCGAGAGGACGAAAAGCGAATTTCCGCCGCTTTAACCGGGTTAGTGAACATGGAGAGTCCACCTGGAGGAGTTGGAAAACCCTGATTCCGAACCAATGAAGTAAGTGGTCTCCAGGATCATGACGGAACAAATGGCGTATGAACCAGTCGTTGGTCACCGGCTACCATTTGACTGCATCTCCTTACGATTCTCCACTGCTTTGTGGATCAGATCTTCCTAAGAAAACTACCTGCTTCGGTTTAGAGACCTGGGCAGTATCACAGCCCTCACACATATCGAATGAGATTTGTGTGGCGCATATGTATTTGGTGCCCCCTTGTACCAGTATTTATGTGTTCAAATAAATAATAAATAAATAAGAATTGCTGGATGCTGCGTTTTACAAAACGTAGGACAAACAACGGATATTGTTGTTTTGAATGCATTTATTAATGGATGTTTTCAGCAACTTCAGCAGCATTTAAACTTAGTATAAATTTACTTTTCCAATTTTTTGGAATGTCCATTCTGATTAATTTGTGATTAAATCAATTCATCCCTATGATGAATTTGGATAAAGTAATAAGAAGACGTAGATCGTCAAGTCATCTGATAATCTTAATCTTCTTATTATACTATGCAAATTTATAATTAGCTATTTGTACAGCTTTTATTATCTTTGCAGGTTTTCATATTCCTATTAGGAGTTTACTTCCCTATGACGTAGAAGTTATGTTGTCTAGAACTATGTTGAAAACTTCATCACTGTATTATCCAGTTCATAGAATAGGAAAAGAATCGAAAGCATCCATTTAACTTTAACGTTCGCTCCATCATTATTCAAACTAACTATTATTTATGTTTATACATTGTGTAATATCAACAACGACAAGAATCTTACTTCTTATTAAGTTTCTGTAAGTAGGTGTACAATCATCAAGAGCAAAGAAATTTATACATAAATAAGTATAAATATTGATACAAGAGGGCATCAAATAGATATGCGCCACATAAATCTTTCAATTTGTGTGAGCGCTGATATACCACTCGGGTGCCTAAACTGAAGCAGAAGCAAAGAAGTAAATATAGAATAAATACTTACCAATAATAATTTATCTTGTTCATCATTATCTTCAACACTTTTATTATTATTATTATTCAATAAAAATTCATTAGTTATTAAATTAGAATTAGAATTTAAATTAGCATATTCACGTCTTAATATAGATAATTCACAACGTAATGCAATGGTAGTTTCAGCTTCTTGTGCTCGAATCAATTGACATTTAACTAAACGATCAGCCATTACTCCACTTTCCTATAGTAAGATTTAAGTAAAACCATAATAGTTAAGAAAAATATGGTAATGAAAAGAGAAAAAGCAGTTTTAAACTAAATAGAAATGTAAGTTAAGTGTGAAACAATTTAGTTAATCAGTCAGTCAGTCAATCAGCTACAACGTCGGACCAGACACATAAATGCATCAGTCTAAGTTTACATACTTCATTAGCACAATAAGATGAACACCGAATTCATAGAAGTAGTTAATTCAATCGTGGTAATATATAAAAGAAACATTGCATATAAGGATATAATACATGAAGAAAGAATTAGTTGGTTTAAAGAAATATACAAAGCAATTTTAATCTCACGGTTTGAGAGAGAGTGTATAAACCTACGCGATTGTGATCGATTCTAAGCCATGTCACCAACAGTCTCCAACCATTGGTTACGATAGTCACGTGGACCTCAACCAAGTAATCTGCATTTACCAACATGGCTAAGAAGTTTTACAACCTCATCAACTTAATTAACATCATCCCCTAATACTTTGCGTCTAACCTTACTATTACTTAACCGATGGTCACTTCCCTATAAAATCGGTGACGATAAGAAATAAAGCTGAACCTATGGTTATTACATCAATTTGCCTATAAGAAGGGCTATGAAAGAAGCATCACACTGCTATCAGTACCAGGAAAAGTTTTCGATAGTGTTGCTGAACCGAATAAAACACGCAGAAGACGCCTAACTTCGAGATCGACAGGCTGAATTCCGTAAGGATCGATCGTGCACAGACCAAATTGCGACAATACGAATCACCGTCGAACAATCAGTTGAATGGAACTCGTCACTATATATCAACTTCATTGACTATGAGAAGGCATTTGACAGTGTGGATAGGGGAACATTATGGAAACTTCTTCGACACTGTGGAGTTCCTGAGAAGATTGTCAATAAGACAACATGTTCTTTTGACGCGAATCCCGTGTATCTTTAAAAAGACTATTATTATTTTATATTACTATGTATCTTTGAATAACATTGCATCACCTTTTCCTTTAAAAACATTTGTTACCATAATGCACTAACAAAGTTCAGCTCGCATTTGAAGGTGAATACTTCTGTTAGATCGACGGGGTTGATATGGGTAGTCCGTTAGGAACGTTATTAGCACGTGTTGAAAACTTGATTGAAGACCTAATCGAAAACATGTCTTTTTATAAGGGATGTGCGGATGACATCTTACCTATCTGTAGAATAAAGAAGGATATGAATTGCTCATTAAATGAACTTAAAGCTTATCAACATCTCATCAACTGATTTACCATCATTCTCTAATACCCTGTATCTAACTTTACCACTCCTTACCCGGTAATCCCAGCAGATGCGAAAAATATTTCCAAGGCATTTGTGGTCGAATACTATCAACAATAAATTATATATTATTCTACGTTAAATATATCATGCATTTTTTTCATTTATCACACTTCTATATTAGTAAATCGAACATCGTGATAATTGTTCACTAATAAACTCAAATAAATAAACTTGTTTATCTTTCACACAAGACAAAATCTGTTAAACTATGTCTTATTTACAAAATATAAAGTGTATGTGAAAGGTTTAGAAAGCATGTGAACTAATTAAGCAAAGATGGATAGTGGCTAGCAGTGGAATCCAGGACGCGCGTTTCATCCTATTTGGGACTCGTCAGCTGGACGTACCTGATCAATTGCACTCCTAAATAACAATGGGAAGATACAATTATTTATTTAAACAAATAAACACTGGTACAAGGAGGAACCAAATACATATGCGCCACATAAATCATTCGATTTGTGTGAGGGCTGTGATACTACCCGGGTGCCCAGATCGAAGCAAGTGGTTTTCTTAGAGGACCACACCCAGAGCCTTCTACCTAAAGGTCTCATCCACAAGGCAGTGGAGCATCGTGAGGAGATGCAGTACCATGGTAGCCGGTGACCAACGATTGGTTCATACGCCATTTGCCCCCGCAGGATACTGGGAACCATGTACACCTTTGGTTTGGAATCCGGTTCAAGCGCCGGACATTCATTCGCTTTTCGTCTTCTCAATTGCGTAAACAACACCCCCGCCACGAGAGGGCAGTGAGTAGGACTTCCCTGGCAGAGGCTGTATACGCGTGGCCGTGTGAGAGCATTTCGAGAGGGAGGGCATGCCTACCCCTCTCAACCACACCAGGGAATTTCGGGGCTACTGTGAAACATCACCATGTGAACTAATCATTAAATTAACTCAATTTATCTTCTATAATGATTGTTGTTATTATATTGAATAAACATGAATGTATTAAAGAGTATCCATAATATGTATATAGAAACAATCGATTGAAAAACTTGAACAGAAAATAGTTCTACTGTATAGACCTGAAACTTGGAGAATTACCATAACCATCATCAATCAAGTACGAATATTTATAAACAATTGTCTACGCAAAATATACTAGATCCGTTGACTGGATACTATGAGCAACAATCTGCTTTAGCAGAGAAAAAATCAACTTACAACTGAAGAAGGAATTAGGAAAAGACGTTGGAAGTGGATAAGACATACATTACAGAAATCACCAAACTGTATCACGAAGCAAGCGCTAACATGGAAACCTGAAGATAAACTTGAAAGAGAAAGACCAAAGAACATACTGCGTTGTGAATTAGAATTAAACATGAACAGGATGAATAGAAACTGGAAACGACTGGAAAGGGTTGCCCAGAACACAGAGAATGCTGATTGGCAGCCTATGCTCCACCATGAGTGCTAACAGGCGTAAGTAAGGAAGTATAAACTTATCTACGTATTAAATACAACATTGGTTATGATTTAGAAGTGTATCATGAGCTCATTTTTATGCAAATTATCTTGATTTGGTCAACTAAATAAATCACAACTCGCACATACATACACACATACATACTAATGATAGCTTGAACAAACACTATAATACATTAATCTCACCTCTTCTAAACGAGCTAAACGTTGTAATAATAATCCGTTTTCAGTACGAAGACGCTACAAGTTAAATGAAGAAAGAAAAAGAAAAGTTAATACAGCTTACTTGAAGGTTTCAATAACCTTCAGTTAGTGATTGGAAAAAATCTATAAATAAATCAAGATTTTCTGATTACTTGATTTTAATATCGAATATTAAAATATATTGCAAAACAGTGATTAACAAGAAAGAAAAACTTATAAAGCAGAACCTTCAAAGTGAATATGATGTTCTGAATTCTACTCATACCAGAGGTGTTTCCGATATGACTATGTTTTATTCATTTTAGCTTTACCTTCAAAGAAAATGAGAAGAATGACAGAAATACATTCATTTTCTTATCTAACTTTCCATGCATTAAGCAACGTATCATTCATACACAGATATATATAATTAACTCATTCACCAGGTTACTTACTTACTCACGCCTGCTACTACCAATGGAGCATAGTCCACCGACCAGCATTCTCCAACCCACTCTGTCCTGGGCCTTCCTTTCGAGTTCTATCCAATTGTTGTTCATCCTTCTCATATCTGTCTCCGTTTCTCGGCGTAATGTGTTCTTTGGTCTTCCTCTCCTCCTTTGGCCTTGAGGATTTCATGTGAGGGCTTGGCTTGTGACTCAGTTGGGTTCTTTCCCTAATGTGTATCCTATCCACTACCAGCGCTTCTTCCTCCGCTGGAATCTGATTTGTTCTCTCCCACAGTAGGTTGTTGTTAATAGTGTCTGGCCAACGAATCCGAAGTATTTTGCGTAGAAAACTGTTAATAAACAATTATATCATCTGGATGATGACTTTCGTAGTTCGCCAGGTCTCCACTCCGTACAGTAGAACAGTTTTGACATTGTATTGAAAGTCCTGAACTTAGTGTCGGTTGACAAACAGTTGTTTTGAGTTCAAGATGTTCTTCAGTTGTAAATATGCTGCTCTTGCTTTAACGATCCACGCCTTCATATCTGCATCAGATCCACCCTGTTCATCAATGATGCTGCCCAAATATGTAAACGTTTTTACATCTTCCAAATCTTCTTCATCAATGGCGATTGGATCGGTGCATGCTGTGTTGTATCGGAGAATCTGGCTTTTCTAGATTGAGACCTACTGCTGTTGAGGCTGCTGCTACACTGGTCGTTTTCTTCTGCATTTGTTGTTGCGTTTGCGATAGAAGAGCCTGACCATCTGCGAAGTCTAGATCATCCAACTGCATCCTAGATACCAGTGGCGATCCTGTTGTAACCTCCTTTTACTTTCTCCATAAAAAAGCAGTTGTAACTTCCTTAACTGAAGGAATTCTTCTGGTTGTACCCTTCCGTTTCCCACATTATTATTATTATTACACTGCCTTACACTAATCTGGGATCGTTAATGTTCTCTTTTCTTCTTATACGCTCCTTACCTTCTTTTCTTTCATCCCATTCTCATTGTTTTGTGTGGCGCATATATATTTGGTGCCCCCTTGTACCAATATTTATGTGTTCATATAAATAAATAGGTAAAAATAGTTGAGATCATAAGACAATTAGTTAGACATTAACACCGCTGGATGCCGTCCGGCTCAGTAGTTTAATGGTTAAGCGCTAACACGCGTAACTGATAGGTCCTGGGTTCGAATCTTGCAAGGTGGGATCGTGGATGCGCACCGCTGAGGAGCCCCAAAGTAGAACGAAACGACTATCCAGTGCTTCCATGGTGCGCTAGCTTCAATTGACTTATGATCTCAACTATTAAAATTAGAAATTGTTCTATTATTATTGATAACTTAATACATATTTTTTACTATCGCGTATAATTAGTTGATGGAAGTCGATAAGATATCCTGGACTTAATTTCATAACTAGTTTACATAGAACATACCTACAACATTGAAGGAAATGATGCTTCCTGTGGAAGTTGACCTTGAAATAACCTAGCTGTTTTGTTAGTCTGTAACATTACCGGTGGGCTATTCCAAGATCAATTAAAATGTTTACACAGAGTGATCATTGATTAGCAATCAATATCATATTTACTTAATTCGTCAGTGCTGATCGAATTTTAACGATCTTATCTTTGTTGTTCCACGCGGTAAACTACGCATTCTATGTACGGACAAAATATTTTTACCAATTTGATTATACACCCAAAGATTTACATATATATTTATATGGAATACTCACACGTAATTCAATTTGTTCTTCTCGTTCTTGACTACGCATTGTCATGTATTCTTTCGCTAATCTATAATTATAAATGGACAAATTATTTCATTAGTATTATGAAGAAAACAAAGAGAATAAATGAAGAATAACCGAATAAGAGGTAGATTTTTACAACAATAAAACCTATGATAGTATTTAATGAATAAGATTATTATATATATATTTGTATGCAGATTGACTAATTAAGAGTTTATACAATAATTGTAGCCCAATGTGATTAATAGATTGATTACTATAACTTGAAATCAATCGTTATAACATAGATACATTTACATTATTTTACAATTAAACATTTTGAAATTATGTTGGCCAGACTATAATTTATGGACAAATCAATCAGGTATAAGATAACAGGTTTGGGATTTCGGCACAAAAGTCACTCATCTATTTGGTTAAATAGAGTTTTGGCATTATAGTTGATATCAGTTCGTGATGAAAACTCTAAATCTATTTCCTAAACCTAATCATTAACTGTAAATCATAATTTGAATTCCTCACGTTTGTTTATAACCCTAATTTGGTCCTAGTTATTAGGTGGATATTCTAAAGGTCACCTTAGTGTCGCTCAGAGATTGTCCATAAATTGTAGTCACATCATTATGTTACACAATTGGTTCTTTGAATTCGTTATTTCTTCGTAAATCAGTTATATATATGTGTGTATATATCAAGTGATTTTTTATTATCAATGATAATTTATTATTGTTACTATTCTATCATCCGCAATGAGTGATTTATGATCACACTTAAAACTCAACAATCTCCACAACCCTATACTGATAATTATCATGTGATCACTAGTGACCAACTTTGAGAGGTAAATCTCGAAGTTCTAGCGAGAAACCATGACCAGTGGAGTACAATACGTGTCAGATGTGAGGTACGTACTTGTAGAAGCACGTACATAGAAAGGGTTGAAAGGAGGGCATTAACAACATTTGCGGAACGAATTCTTCGTAAACAACAAAAGTACTGAAAATCAAATGCCAAAGTTACTTGTCTACACTTAGTGAATAATTATTCATGTCAAGAAACTATTCTTAGACCGTCAAGTAAAGTAACCGGACGGAACATACATAAACATTTATGTATGGTAAAAGGAAAAGTATGATAGAACCTGGAAAGAAAACGTGTAAAATATAGCAATTGTTTCATCATACAGAGAACTTACTTTTTCATCTTTTTTGTATTCAATTTAAGCGAACAAGCATTTTCAAATATAGTACTCGAATGTTTATCCCACGCTAATGGTCCTTCATGTTGAAGGAACTGGAAAATAAAAACATATACATAGAAAAGAATTTAGTGCGATCCGAACAATTCCTTGTTAACTGAAGACAAAAGCTTGAAAAAACAATAAACAAAACATTTCTAGAATAGATAGATTGTGAATTAGTAGTGGAATCCAAGACGTATGTTTGGTCCTATTCAGGATTTCTTTTAGTTAGATATACCGACCAATCCTGGAGTTGATATTCATATCAAGATATGAAACCAGCAGCTTACACTTCAAGTACCGAGGCGTTATGTCTGGTATTATGCCAGTTTATCTATTTGAACACATAAATATTAGTTCAAGGGGGCACCGAATACATATGCACCACACAAGTCTCTTGATTTTTGTGAGGGTTGTGATACTGTCCAGGTGCCCAAACCGAAGCAGATGGTTTTCTCAGGGGGACATACCAGGAGCCTTCAACTAAAAGGTCTCATCCACAAGGCAGTGGAGCAACGTAAGGAGATGCAGTTCTATGGTAACCAGTGACCAACAATTGGTTCATACTCCATTTGTTTCCTTAGGATTCTGGAGCCCATGTGCACCATTGGTTTGGAATCAGGGTTCTGCAACTCCTCTAGGTGAACTCTCAGTGTCTACCAAACCGGTTAAAGGGCCGGACATTCGCCTTCCATCCTCTCAATTCTGTAAACAACAGTATCGCCGCGAGAAGGCAGTGAGTAGGCCTGTAGCAGGTAAACAAGATTAATAGACGAAAAATACCGAAAAAAACTTACTGCAACCATTGACTCCATATCACATCTTAACAAATTGTCAGCAGAAAATTTCAATATTGATAAAGCCAATTTAAATATGAATTGAAGGCCCTGAAATATTTAATGTAAAAAGAAAAAAACGAATGATAAATAATGAGACTATAATGTTCCGAACTGAGATCTATCAATCAAAGGATCAATTTTTTAAGTATTATTTAAGTTAGTGTTTTCGGTGGCGAATATTTAGATAGAAATGTTGAAGTTAATTGTATGGTACTCGGTAAAGATGGTAAATTGGTTGAAACTGTATCGGTTGAGATAGCTGATACATATGTTATGTACAGCCAGGAATAGGTGGGCAGAAAGATAGAGGTGGTATCTGTCCAGTTGTCACTGAGTATTGTACTGAGCTTTATCAGTAGTTGTACATTACTTGATGGTCAACATGCCCAACGGCTGAAAACGTTGAGTGAAATAGGTTATTATCAATCGCAATATCTTAGTTCCAGCTACTCTTTGTCAACCCTTAGATCCTCCTGAGTATTAAGACTATATCAAACACCTTAGTTCGCCAATATATTCTTGCTTATTGATTCACATTCGCTCAGATCACTATCATCACTGGGACTGTTACTACTCTGATATTCATGTTGTTAGTTTCAACTTGTTGTGTTAGTCAAAATATGACAACTATAATTAATGCACATTTTGTTTGCAAGTTCTAAGTTGCTTGTAGATTCAATTATGTTGTTGTGTTAGTTATTATGCATTGAATAGTTGAATTCAATAGTTGTATAGCTAATGTTCAGTTTGAATAATCTCACAGAGAGAATATGACATTTTATGAGCATTTATTCACTGTAAGCTTGGATATTATAGAAGAAAAATAATCAACTGAGATAAATTCAAGATTAAAGGGATAATAAAACTGAAAAAAGATTAAATTCATTGATTGAATACTTCAGTATGTAAATTTTTGAAAGATTATAAGCAAGAAGATTAGCAATCAAAGTTAATCAGTCAGCTACAACGTAGGACCCGGCATATATGTGCATCGGTTCAAGTTACCATACCTCATTAGCACAACAAGATGAACACCGAATTTATAGAAGTAGTTAATTCAGTGGTGTTAATATATAAAAGTAAATTCAATAAACATTGCTCTATATAATCGTTAATCAGCAGTGTATTTTGATAGAGAAAAATTAAACAGTACAGTTTACGGAATGGATAAAAACATAGATTTAAACTTCTGATTAACTGTAAGTCAGTTATATGAACAATTCATTAGTCATTATTTTGATGTACTATAGTGGCTAAAGTTGAGAAAAAAATATATAGATGAACAAAATGAAACATGGCAATTGACTATCAGGGTTACTGACTATTGTTGATCTGAGGCAAGTGAAGAAGTATAGACTATTTAAATTACTCGGTGTTGCTATATATCATATGTGAAATATGACTGCAGAAAAATTGAAGAAGTTTCTTACACCTAATTTCCTATATATTCCACATTTCAAATTTTGTTATCATTAATTTTGATGAACTCCTTTGATGTCTGTGCTACTGAAAAGTGTGACGACATTCAATGATTGATTTGTAACGATAATATGGATTTGAATACATTGAAAAGACTGTACGAAATTGTTCGAACATCATTAAGTAACTAAATGACACAATAAATTGAATTAATCAATAACACATACAAAAAAGGAAATCAATCTAAATAATTCAGTTTATGCGATGGTAGAGATTTGTAGCTCAAGCGGATGACTTTGGAGTTTTGTTTTTTGAAATGAATGGTTTGGTCATGAAGCTTTCATTGTTCTTCTGAAGTTTGTGTTGATGATGCCGTTCAGACGAATGATGAAAGATTCATCACCAAACCATCCAGCGCTCAGAGAACAAAACTCCATCAAAATTCACTTTATTAATTATATGATATTTAAGGGTATACGGAATAACATAGTGTTATATAGGAGGCGTCAGTTTATGATGTGGTGTCGTGGGATGAAAGAAGGCTGCAAAGGGCTGGCTTCTATTGGTCCTTCACAACTTCCTGGTTAGGACCCGAGAGATGGTGCAACACAGTGGCTAAAGACGTTATCAGATATGGCTCAAAATAGAAGTCACTGGCGATTCTGCTGTAACCTTCTTTCACTTTCTTCATAAAAAAGTGGTCGTAACTTCCTTAACTAAAAGAATTCTTTCTGGTTGTACCTTTCCGTTCCCCCTCCTATTATTACTATACTACCATACACTAATCTGTGGTCATTATTGTTCTCCTTTTTCCCTTTCTTCTCCCCTATAAGCACCTTACATCCTTTTTCTCTTCCCATTCTCATTGCTGTTGTGTGGCGCATATATATCTGGTGCCCCTTGTGCCAATAATTATACGTTCAAATAAATAAAAGTGTTATACAGTGCTCTTCATCAAATGAATCGTGTAATTAACGATGAAAAAGAATTTAATTTAATGCTCCTCTTTTTATCCAGAAAATTTGAATACAAATTATAAAGTTATAGAAACACTAATTATAACTGGATAGAGAGTGTTGATGGGTAGCCTATGCTCCTCCACGAGGAGTAATAGGCATAAGTAAGTAATTATAAATACTATGAGTAATGCATAGATTATATTAAAAAGTATAATGACTATCTTTACATTGAAGTATTCTACTGAATAAAACAAGAATTAAGTAAGTACACGTGAATCTTAACTAATAAAAAGGATGTTGTGAATGATTATTAAAGTAACAACACTTTAGAATAGAGAATAAACATTATAACAAAAAAGGGGACTATTTACATGAAACATCTATGGAATAAACAGTAAAGAAATTTTGACATTAAACTATTATAATTAATTTAGTTTCTCAAACTTCCGCAATTGATCATGTGAATTTATCACAGATCTGGTTACACTATACACAAAACAGAAGAAAAAAGCAACAACATACGACTAGTTTGGATTGTTGTTACTATAGAATGAAACGGTTCATACATAAAATACGTTAGAATTTTTAAGAGAAGAATAATTCACTTTAATGGAGAGAGTGAAAAAATGGTAACGTTATGGGTATTATATCATAACACTGATCATAGTGACTTTTAAACCAGTTTCTAAACTTCTACTATCAATCAACAATGTTTGGAAACCGAATGAAATCAGAAAGTGAGAATAAGATTAATGGTGTTTTTCAGTATTAGTTTCAGTGTAGATGTTAAGGAATAAAATTCAACAATCTGAAAAACTTTAATTTTAATAGTTGAGAATATGAGTCAATTGAAGTTAGACCACCATGGAAAACCTAGAAGTACTGGACAGCCATTCCGTCCTAGTATGAGACTCCTCAGCAGTGAGCATCCACCATTCCACCTTGCAAGATTCGAACCCATGACCAATCAGTCCTACAGTAGAACAAAACGGATGTCCAGTGCTTCTAGGTTTTCCATGGTGGTCTAGCTTTAATTGAAAATTAATCTCAACCATTGGAATTACTAATAATATCCACAAAACCTCTTCTAATATTAATGTTAACAACCCTATGCCGATAATTATTATACGCTACGAAAGGAGGTTTCCAGAGTTCTATTGAGAATTTACTACCAATGATAGTGATTGAAATTTCGAAAAAAAACGATTCTGAGATAATCTCAGTGTAAAGGAATACTGAAACTGAAAACCTCGAGGAAGGTAAGCAGCAATTGAATCAGCGTCACTAAGACCAACATTTATCATCATCGATCGCGGACCTGAACCAGATAACCCTTACCGTATTTACTTTAGATAGATGTTGTTCACCGTTCCCTGATTTTCTAGCGTTGTTATTAGTTCATTTTCGCAACATAATAATAATAATAATAATAATAATAATAATAATAATAATAATAATAATAATAAAAGCTACAAAACAAAAATATTTCATACATGAGTAAAATCATACAAGATTTTTAATTCGCAATCCATTTAGAATTCTAAATAAGAATCGGAAAGTCCTTCCTCCAATCCATAAACATTGGCACTATTTAAATTATGAGAATGATCAAGTATTTATCAATATTTATGAAAAGAAAAATGTGTTTGGTTTGGTTTCAACTAACTTAAAATATTATAACACATTTCTCGATACATTAAAAGTATAAAAAGACTACTTCAATGGATAAATAACTATAGGTCAAGAATGAGGTATGATACATGAAGATATAGATGGCACAGATAATGATCAATAGACCGATAGGGCATATGTTAAGAATAGATTATTTGAAGTCAAGTTATTAAGTACAATGTTAACAATTTAATTAGTGTGTCGATCTAAGCTACAAAACCATTGAAAACCTAGAAGCTATGGGCGGCCGTTTCGTCCCAACATGGGACTCCTCAGCAGTCCGCGTCCACGGTCTCGTACGTAGGAGTTTGGCACCTATGACATAAATTAAAGGATTGTATATATGTATACCTTTAGAGTTCATTGAAGTTATCTATTTATATCGTACTTACTTACGACTTTTAACCCTCGTGAACGAACATAAGCCGCCCATCAGCATTCCCCATCTAACTCTGCCCTGGAAAATTTTTTCCAGTTGCTAACCAGCCTTTTCATGTTGGCTTCCAATTTCCGACGCAGTGTGTTCTTCGACCTTCCTCTTTCCCATTTCCCTTCAGGATTCCAAGTTAGCGCTTGCTTCGTGGTGCAGTTCGGTGAACTATGTAATGTATGTTCTATCCACCAACTCCATCGTGTTTTTCTAATTCTTTATTCAGTCGGAAACTGATTTGTTATCTCCCACAGTAGGCTGTTGCTGATGTTATCCGGTCAACGGATCTAGTGAATTTTGCGTAGACAACTGTTTATAAATATTCTTACTTTTTTGACGGTGGTTTTGGTAGTTCTTCAAGTTTCAACTCCGTACGGTAGAACTGTTTTGACGTTCGTATTGAAGATATTAATATTGGTTGACAGTTGTTTTGAGTTCCAAATGTTCTTCAATTGTAGGGATGTTGAGCCTTCTTTACCAATCCTTACCTTTACGTCTGCATCAAATCCTCCTTGTTCATCGATGATGCTAATTGACTAAAAGTTGGATGATTCTCATATTAAACCACCTCTAGTGTTGTAAATATCTCAGTTGACATTTAAAAAAAAGTGAAATCTTGTCTACAATGTCAGTATTTAAAATTCTCTCCAGCTTATTACAATCATCTGTTATACACATATCGTACATATATCGTTCATATTATGAAGACCTATTATTACTCTATTCTAACCAATAACCTACTTATAAACAAAGTAAGTAAACCAAAGGATCTACTATCAGGATATTTATAGTAATTTTAATCGATTACCATCTATCATTATTAGATTACGCTTTCTTAATTATTCAAAGAAGGAAGAATAAAAAAGACCATGATTGACTATCATCAATTAGAATTACAAAACTATTTATAACCCAAGATATCATTAAAGTTTTTAATTATTGCATGGAATTTTAATAGAACAAAATGGTTCAGTCAATTATTTAACTATTTTGGTTAATTACAACATACAAGTCAATCAATCGGAAGTTAGTGAGTTATTAATAGTTCTTGGCGTAAAGATCAAGTAATTAGTATTATATTTATAGTATAGTATAATAATAATAATAATAGTATTATTAATATTTCTTTCATTATTGAATAATAGGCTTGTTATTAAGAAAAGAAACATTAAAAAATGAAAGAAAAGACAACACAAAGAGTTGACTACTAATTGATGAAAATAGGATTCGTAAAAGCAGTTACTTCAATGGTAGTAACATATAAAAGATTGCATATAAGGAAGATATAAAGATGTAAAGCAATTTTAATCTCATATTTTAAGGGAAGATAAAGAGTGAATACACGTCAACCATGTCACCCAGAGTCTGACCTCACTATTACTTACCCGGTGATCACTTTTGAATAAAATCGGTAAGGATAAGATATAAAGCTGAACCTATGGCTATTACATCAATTTGCCTATAAGTGTTATGAAAAAGGCATCACACTGCTGTCAGTACACCAAACTGCCGTCACACCCATATACATTCAACAGTATGAATTCTTCATATGACCTCAAGTTGTTGTGTTTGGTCTTAACATTACTGCACAGACCTGATTGGAATGCTAGGATCTAAAGGAACAAATATTTAAGCCAGGTATCGACTGGATTACCCAAGACTGACAGTCAGTTCGAGATAGTAATTACGGTTGGAAATGCAAATCATGTACAATAAGAAAGTTTATTTCATAAAAGAAAAGCATACCTCAACAATATAAAAATCCATAACACGTGTAGCACATGGTATAGGTAGAATAGTAGAGAACAATGTCAAAAACCATGCTGATGCATATAAACTTGGTGCAAATGATTGTGTACGAAAATGAGTATACAATTCGGGTAAATTATCAGCAATTAATTGTTCTAACTGGTACATACAAACGCCAAGTTCCATCATAGATGGTTTATACATTTCACGAAGTCGATAATCATTCATTAATTGAACAAGTACAGCGAATGCATTAAGTTCAGGCATCTGAAGTATCAAACAAAAGAAAGTTAAACAATGAATAGTCATGTTTCTACAAACAAAATTGGAAAATAAAATGGAAAACTATTACTAGGTTGCGTCAATCAACTACATATGATGTGGTATAAATATATAACAGTCTAAATTGCTAAACTTTCCATCAGGACATTAAAAGGGAATTGATTTGATGAAAACCGAAGAAACTAAATTACATGTAGCAATGGTAATAAAATGGAGAAGAAAGATGAAACACAATACAATCCACATCCGTGGGACTGAAACTAATTTTAAAGCCAATTGCCTAAATAATGATTATAATTTGTACTTCATGATACATTTCATAAAATTGGTCAAACAGTTCATGAGCCGAAATGATGTTATGATTTAACAACCTGAATTTGATATTAACTTACTTTAACATTAGTCAAAAATAATGTGTAACTTGAACAATGGCAAGGTTTATAAGTAATACATGTTCCAGACAACTTAATCATCTAAGTTTCAAGTTCTCATCAATCCGTTTATTATATATTCCTGATACCTTATGCTGCATAACAGCTTCATTATTTCGGTAATCTTATAGCCACAGATTAATATTAAAATCCATTAGATTCTCTCTTTATAATGTTCGTTACAGATGGTGTTAGTTATATAAAACTAAGTAAGATTTTCGCATCATAACCCAGATCACAGCATATTTGATGTGAGCATAGAAACAAAGAAACCATGACAAAAAACGGAAGCTATTTTGGGGGACGTTATTTCACTTAATACAAAGCTTATAACATACTAAAATTTAGCTTTGACCCTGGTTATTTCTATAAACCGTAAACTTTCGTTTGATGGATGATTCATTGCCAAACTCTTTTCTATTCCGAAGCAATAGTAATTTAAACGTGATGTTTTTACTTCATTTTCTCACCCTAATGGTTAGTTTGAACATAATTGTATTTTCCCGATTGTTTGTGCGTTGTGGTCTTGTTATTCAACGATTTATTTATGTATCTTTTTACATTAATTCGAATCAGGGATCAATCAAGTAGTGTTCCAGTTAACTGGTCTAGTATGGTGTTCAATTATATATTAGGCAATAAGTCTGTTTACTTTTGATAATGTAATAAGAAGACGAAGATTATCAGAACTATGTGATGATATATTAGCGCAATACATTTCGAACAATCTAATTACACATATACTTGTTAAGAACATTTATATATAAAAATAAAAGATCAACTAAACTGAAAATGGGGTAAGAGGAGACAAGGATAATAATAATAATAATAATAATAATAATAATAATAATAATAATAATAATAATAATAATAATGCGGAAACAATTTGAAACCTAATCACTTTGGATAATAAGCCAAGATTACTAGGGTAGGTTTAAGGTGAGAACAAACTGTTTTTGAATTTTCGTATTATCAAAGAAAGAACAAGGTGCATGCTTCATCCAAAACCTAAAAAACATGAAAACAATTGTGTCACATCCCACTGTGTTTACCAATTTAAATGTGTGTGTACTCACACATACATAGGGAGGAGCAATCGTGATCTTATAATCTTCGTCTTCTTATTACATTATAGAAATTTATCAAAGGGACTAATTGCTTTAAATTTCTGTTTGTTTAGTTCAAACAATGAATCAGTTTTTATTCTTCTACCTCGAACCATCTAATGAATGGATAGTCAGTTATAAATAACATTAACTTCAAAATAATAAACATAACTAAACTGGTAAGATAATTGTTATTAAACATATAATAACTATTTATTTTACCTGCATTAATAATAATCCGACAATAAATGCTGAGCCTTGACAATAGCCCACTTCTGGGTCATGAATTGAATACGCTTTGATTACACGGAATAAGCTTTCTTGACCACAACCGTTCTGTGAAAAATATATATGTATACAAAAAGAAATATAATTGTGAATGGAGACACAAAGAAACCATAACAAACAATGGAAGCTATTTTAGGGAAAGTTATTCCACTTGTAAAATAATAACATTTAGGTTTATTCCTGATTATTTCTACATATGAAAGAATAGTATTCAAATAACATAATTAGCACATCATAGATAAATCAGTCTACCACACAGGACTTAAATCTGAAAGTGTATATTCACCTGTTGAAATTATTGAATTTCCAATAAAGGACTTAATTACTGACTATCCTGGTGATTTGAAGTTTAACATTTTAGCGCCGAATCTCCCTACGAGAGTTATTCTTTATATTTACCGCTATAAAAGACGATATTTCCTTATTGATCACTACCTCTTATGTATTAGACGTTTGCTCTATCTGCAAGGCCATTGTGTATGTACTTGTACAAATATGTTAATTCCGTAAGTATGTCGTTTTAGGTTCCAATTAAATAAACTTTCCTTAAAAGATTATATTTCGGAGTGGAAAAAGTTAGAAGGAGAGAAACCGTTGTATCCAGGTATTGAAGTGATACCAAGAGTTCTATCAGTCAGACAGTAACAACGTAGAACTTTGTACGTATATACATCAGTTCGAGTTGCCATACCACATTAGCACACAGATACAACTGTCCATTCAAATCCTATAGCGGTAGAGATAGAGTATAAGCAGTAATCGGAAAGATTAGGGTTTGAAGATGTTATTCAAGGAGTATAATATGGTGAAATAAATTTGGAAAGAGAAAAAAGAGAGGGACATGAAGAATTCAGAAGATTAGAATTTGTGAGAACACAAAGATTGGATGCACCTGAGCAATTGCAAACGATTTTGAGCCATGTCATTCAAGGTCTCTAACTATCGGTTGCTATCGTCTCGCGGATCCTAACCAGGTAGTCTATACCTACTAACAAGTCTCAGTCCACTTGTCAGTGACTTGATGGATTTGTGCCATGTTTTGGTCTGGCCGCCCCTAACTTTCTTTCAACCTACTCCCAAGAGTTCCATACTGACCTATAACTATCTACCAAGTTGAATCACAGTTTTAAGCGAATACTTTGGGAAATGTATGATAAAATTTTGAGGTCGCTGTGATATTTTCAGCTTAATAACTTATTGATCCCACTGAAAATTTAGGATACCTTACTAGCAATATAGTTGGAATTTTAGGTGATTGAATCTAACGAACAATTAATTTATAACGAAAAAAGTAGCGATGACCAGCCAATAACGAAATCAGTCAGAATTTTTAGGTTGCTGAGGATTAAAATTATTTTATCTAAAGGATCATTATCACTGAACAAATGCCTCGTCTTTGTATTGGGACAGCCCAGCGGTACATACAAATGATCCTCCTCCAAGGATCAAATTTATAGTGTTTAAGTCTCACTAAAAGACCAACAAATTATATTTGCAAATTCACTTCACTTATGATACACAATTCAAACTCACCAGTTACGTTTTCTTACTAGAAAACATCACGTATTTACTTCGAAATCATTAAAGACTACTTTATAATTATTAAAATAGTACAACCAATCGAAACTACAACGAAACAATTATTCATAGTACATTGTTAATAATTGAAGTAGTGAATATAATCCAATATCAACACACAACTATTGATAAATATCAATAAAATTCAATATTGACATGACAAAATCTTTAATTATGAAGGAATTGTAGTAGTTAACTTTTTAATGATAATAATATCACAAGTTGAAATCATGGGGCAATTGAAGCTAGACCACGATGGAAAACCTGGAAGCACTGAAAGGCCATTTCGTCCTGGTATGAGACTCCTCAGCAGTGCAATCCACGACCACGCACCTCGCGGGATTCGAACCCAGGACCTACTGGCTTCGCGCGCGAGCACTTAACCATTAGACCACCGAGCCGGTATCTTATGGTGTTAATGTCTAACTTCAACCAATCCACGAAATTGCGCTACCGTACACCATTGTCTTCAGTGAGTTCCTATCTCACAACAGACCTGGTTGAACTCCACTGGTAACGACTTCTCACTAGGACTCCAGGAGTGTCTCCTGAAGTCAGTCACTAGTGAACAGGTGATGATTATTATCAGGATGAGGAGTTCCATACCAGGACGAATCGGCCGTCCAGTGCTTCCAGGTTTTCCATGGTGGTCTAGCTTCAATTGACTTATGATTTCAACTTGTGAAATTTCTAAAAATCTCCACAAAACACATTCTGACGATAATAATATCATTTATAAAGACAATGGAGGTTTGATGCTTAGAAATGATGAAACAGTTGCTGATCAGTAATTTAAAGCCTTAAAACACAATTTCAGTCAGTCAGTCAGCTACAATGTAGGACCAGGCATAGAATTATTCGAAAATATATAGAAATGGAGTGTATGTATGAATGTATTGTTAGCAAAAAATGTCTTAACAATAAACAAATAAGCTATGATTAGGATTGTAAAGAATGGATGTCAGCAAGAAAACAATGAAAATAAGACATTGCCAATAGTTAGACAAACAAAGATAGAAACAGCAAAATAAAAAGTGGAAAGGAGTATGCACATAAGTGAACAGAAAAGAATTCAATGAATGTGGGTAAAAATGTAATATATCATCAATTGTTTTCAGTTGACAGGTTTTAACTTTGTTCTTTTTTTATTCAGTCAGTCAGTCACCTACAACGTAAGACCAGGCACATATAGGCACCGGTCCAAGTTGTCACACCTCATTAGCACAACAAGATGAACACGGGATTCATATAAGTACTTACTTGAATCGTAGTAATATATAAAAGACAGATTGTGTATAATGCCATAATACAGGAAGAAAGAATTAGTTCGTAGACAGAAAGGTATAAAGTAAATTTAATCTCACGGTTTAAGGGAAGACAAAGAATGATGCAACGCTTTGGTTTAGTACACTGATATTAGTTATTTTAGAGGGAGAATTAAGCGATCGAAAATGAATTTAGACTAAACTGTATTCCGATTTGTATGGTCATTCGTACTGCAATGAAAATTTAGACAGCCTGTTATTGATGTTATGTGTGGCAGACATGTACACACTGTAAAAAGCCGCGTATTATAATTTTATTTGTCCAAATCGTCACATTTTATGTGGACACAGTGGGGATTTACTTCAATAAGAGGAAAAGCAGTAAAGAGGTGACTTAGTAGCTAAAGGATTGAAATTCGGAACACAACGCCTCAGGTTCGAGGCCCGCTTCGTCTACCTTGAATCGGGCAACTGGATAGTCCTTACACTGAGGGTTTGAATTATATATAAATACCTAGTGAATGGGTTAATCATATATATCTGTGCATGAATGATACGTTGCTTAATACATGAAAAGTTGGATAAAAAAATGAATGCATTTCTGTCATTCTTCTCACTGAATTTGGACGAAAATTTAACATGAACAAAACATGGTTATATTGGAAACACCCATGTCATGGGTAGAATCCAGGACCTTCAAATTCGGACGAGACTTCTCGGACATTCATTGATGAAAAAGAGTACTGTAATCTGAGGAAAGATTTGTCCAGTGATTCCTAGTTTCCAACGGTTATGAACTACACTTTGTCAGTGACAAAATCTATCTTCAACTGATCTTTATAAAATACATAACCACAGACTGCTTTTGTCTAGCTTGATATATCTTATACGTGGATTTCCTTCATTGATATCTTTATAATTTGTTAGAAAGATACTAAGGAGTTTCAATGATCAGTTAAGTTATCATATATCTACCTTAAACTCCAACATTAAATTATAACAGAATTACTTGGCACATTGTGAATCTATTCAAAGTTACACGGTGGCATAGTCAAATACGAAAATCATACATTAAATACATCAATTGTACAGCTTCTTTGCGTTCTCCTCTACATACTCCATTATTCCTTCAATTCTGTTGTTATTTTGATTCCTCACCGACCTCTATTCTTATCCATTTGATCTTCTGCTGCCAGGTATTCCGATTGCAGCTGCACACTACTTATATCTATCTTTATAAGTAGCATATACCACAATAGTACAATCATCAATACGATTAGAAAATTTAAACGTTCCCCCTTGCTTATAGCATATGACTTTAAGATGGTAACTAAACAAGATTCGTAAATTATAGAAATTAAATATATGATAGGCCAAATATAAGAAAAGTTTCACTCAGGTGATTAATTTTTAATACCTATGTAACGTTTTGCAGTGGAACCTAAACCAGTTGGCACGAAGTATCAGCGAAGAGAATTCAGGATTATTCGTGAGGACAAGATACAGGACCTCCTCAAAACTAATTGAATACACATCATTTATGATCATTATTCACCGTAAAATTGTATCCCCTGATGTAACTACATTCGTTGAGCTTAGTATCATAAAGTCAACGTAGTCACATCAAACAATTACTTGTTTCATTCTTAACGAAGTAGAAGTACCAACATAATGGCTAGATAAAGTCTAATGTAACATACCAAGAAATAATGAATTCAGTCGAACGAATCTACCATTAATTAAACTGTAACAAATTCGTTTAAATAAAAATAGATGAGAAAATTTGTCTTAATTAAGTAAAAAATTTCCTGATGAATAGTTTAATACAATGCGCTCATGTAACAATATTGAAAAGAAACTAACATAAAAACTGAAGTAGAAGGAGAACATTAGACAAAATCGATAACGTTCCGTAAGTATACTGTGTAAATTTAAAGTGGGCTAAATATAAATGAAGCAAAACAAAGCTCAGCCTCATTATTTTTTAATTGGTTAATTACAGGTCAATCAAGTTTCCATGTAATGTGAAATTTAATAGTAACAATAGAATGGTAGCATACGTTTATCAAGGACATAAATTGTATAATTACAATGGAATGATAAGAGAAAATAGTTGGTATATACATTGAAAAAAAAGGGAAAAGCAAACAGAAGTTGAAAGGATTATCTCTATCTCAATTAACACTGAATTATTAATTGGATGGAGGTAATTGTCAAGATATCCTAAACCTAAATTTCGTACATGTTCGCACTCGTCAGACAGGAAGTACTTGCAGTCTTCAGGGAATTAGTTGTTTTAGTTGGATTTGAAACCGTGTTCGATTCATTGGGCAGGACTGTTATCTAGGATTGTCTATTGAAGGAGGGTGTACCTGAGACGTTTATTAACATCCTAAAAGCCCTATATACAAACACCTCAGGCAGAGTGAGGGCATACAACCACCTCTCTCCATTGTTCCATTCGAGCAGTGGGATTAGGTAGGGTTGCCCAATCTTACCATTCCTCTTCAACTTTGCCATCGATGACATTCTGGAAACAGCTCTGATGGATGTAAGTAATGGCGGTGTGGATCTGCTGCCTGGAGAAAGACTTCTCGACCTTGGGTATGCGGATGATATTGTCTTACTGTGAGATAATGCCCAAGGCATGCAATCCGCACTTAATCAGTTGGCAATCAATGTCCGTAGGAATGGCATGTGCTTTGCACCTTCGAAGTGCAAAGTACTTCGACAAGACTGGCAGGATTCTAATCTTGTACACACCCTGTGTAGTGAGCAGATAGAAGTAGTCGAGAAGTTCGGGTATCTGGGTAGCTCTATAAGTGCTGGTGGTGTCGTGAGTGATGAGATAAATTTACGTATAGTGAAAGCCAGAGAGGCTTATGACAATCTGAGCCAACTTTGGCGCCATCGCGATGTTACTCTGGTTGTAAAAGGTCGGATCTACAACGCATCAGTGAGATCAGTTCTCCTCTATGCTTGTGAAACCTGGATTTTCCGAGGTAAGGATGTTAGACGACTCTGTATTTGATCATCGTTGTCTCCGAAGGATTGCTGACATCCAGTGGCAACACCATGTCAGTAATGCAGAGGTTCGGCATCGTGTGGTCGAACACAGAGATGATAATGCAATTGGTTTTACCATCTTGAAACAGAGACTTCGGTGGCTTGGACATATTCTACGAACGTCGTCCCAGAGAATTCCACGTCGTGCATAATTTGCCGACTCTGGGACTGATTGGAAAAAGAGAGGTGGTCAGTTTATGACATGGTGTAGGGGTATAAAAGAAGGCTGCAAAGGGCCGGCTAATGTTGGTCCTTCACAACTCCCTGGTTGGGATCCGAGAGATGGTGCAACACAGTGGCTAAAGAATAAAAGCCAGTGGCGATCCTGCTATAACCTTCTTTTACTTTCTTCATAAAAAAGTGGTTATATCTTCGTTAACTGAAAGAATTCTTCTGGTTGTACCTTTCCGTTCCCCACATTATTATTATTATTACACTGCCTTACACTAATCTGTGATCGTTAATGTTCTTTTTCTTCTCTTCGAATTCTCATTGTTTTGTGTGGAGTATACATATTTGGTGCCCTTTTGTACCAATATTTATGTGTTCAAATAATTAAATAAATAATTGGTTTTTGTTCCTATGTTTGTGCATAATTTTCCTGATTGGTTTATAAATTGGATCGATTTCTCCACCATCTCAAACGACTTCACAGTTGGGTGTCAACAAACAGTACAGGTGAGGTACATGTTATCTAGATGGGGAATTGTACTTCACTGAGTGCCTCAAAGTACAGTTTTGAGGACAGTATTCTTCCTCCTGTGTGTAAATGACCTTCCTAGTCTCCTACCACCATCGGTTTATTTACATGCTGACAATGTCAAAACAATGAAGAGCGATAAAAAGTGAAGGTTATAGGTTACAGGTTTGAACGGAACTGGAGAAATTGTCTGAATGGTATACAATTTGGCAGTTGCCGATAAATGTTTCCAAGTCCATTATGATGCCTATTGGTCACTAAGGTACGGATACAGACGAACAATGACCCAGGAGTTGTCGTTAATCAAAACTCGAAAACTTCTGGACACTGTTGTATTCAGTGCGGTAATGTATAATACTTTTAAGTCAAACTTATTACACGAAGCCTAATGATGTTACTAGTCAAAGATACAGTGCCCTTTAATTGTTGAAAGTGAAGGATTTAAGTACATATCTAAAATAAATTAGACAATTCCACAATATACTAACAAAATATTGAATTTCACGACGAAAATAATTCCTACATAAATAATGTGCAATGCTGAAATGAAATAAATCACCTTTTTTTCTTCAAATAAAGATTATTTATATTTTAAAATGAAATAACTCACTTCATCTTTAAATAAATCATGTTTAGGAAATGTACGGGCAATATCACGTCGGATTGCTTTTTCAACCGGTGAATTCACTAACAAATAATTATGATAATGTTTTTTAACAGCTGAATCATAAGCTCCACAGTATAGTTGCCAAATTAATGGACGAAATTCATCAGGAACACCTTTTTTAATAAGATCCTAATAAAATAAAGTAAATAAACTATAAATATTTTTTTCCAGAACATCAACAATTTCATTAAAACTACGTAAACATGGATAACATATTAAAATGTCGTCTGAATGAGCAATAGACTTAATAAAATTTCAGGTTAGTTCATGTCGATGATTGATATTGTCATAATGAAGTATTTAAAAGGCGAAAGAGGATTAGATAAATGTTTTCTTCGAGCTTAAAACATCTGAATAGCACTCACTAGCGACAAGAGATCTGACAATCATGAGTTTAATCTTATATGGAGTGAGAGTTATGGGTGGGCAAAAGTTGGAATCCTGAATGCAAAACGAAAAGAGGTAGACGAAACACATTGCGCTGAGAACTAGAGGCAGACGTCAAAAGAATAAATAGCACTTGGTAACAGCTGAGGAGGGTTCAGGACAAAGTTGGTCGGAGACTTATACTCCACAGGTGTAAGTAAGTATATCCCCATTTTCTGATATTAGTACAGAAACGGTATTGTTGGACTGTGTTCCGTAATACAGTCACGAAATTTTAGCACTCAACTTTAACCACAAAAACTACCGTAGAAACATCTGTTACAAACACCCAAGAAATGTCTACCGCTTGTATAACCTAAAATACGTGAATATTCATGTATATTTCCGGGCTAAATATTTGCGGAATTGACTGAGTTAACAGACAGAAACACTGTCTCAGTCAGTGACCATATCACGTTGGAGACAAGCTTACATTCAGTCACCGAAAGCATGATGACTAAGTGGTTAATGCAAGTGACTTTCAACAACCAATTCTAGACTCTATTCCGTCTATCTCGGTTCGAGTAGTAACCGAGTAGTATCACTTTATACCTCAAAAAAAGTTTGACTTGGAAATGAGTTCATTAACCTATATTTGACTGATAAAATCACAATAATGAATAATTTTAGGGGCACTTCTGACAAGAAAATATCTAGCTGCTTCAAAAATATTCATTTAGAACACTTATATTGACTCATCACAACGCGTTAAAGATGACGGTGAATAAGAATTTGAAAGCATCTTTCTTAGGAAAAAATTTTGTTTCTAACAACCTACAGAAACATAGGATTTCTTTTTCGAACATTGATCCCAATTATTTATCACGTAGTCCCACTGTTCACGAATAGAACTGCTAATTGGCGCTCCAGCGGTCCAACCAATCATTAAAGGAATCGAAACTCCAGAAGTATTACTCGATTTCGACGACCCATGTGTTGCATGACCATTAAGTTGCAGCGAAGATGTTCCATTGCCTAATATAAGTGGACAAAACAAATACTATGATTTAAGTCACACTGTTTATACAGAGTAAGTCAGAAAATACTTTAACTCAGAAGAAAATTACAGATTTGTAGACAAAGTTGATGTCATCTACCGCCTACAAATACACATACATATACTTATGCCACAGACACTATAATACGATTGGACCTGTAGTAACCTCACTGAACTTCCCTTGATTTTTTCAATTAGGTGTTGTGTGTTAAGGAGCACCATCAAGATTACTAAAACTTGCCATTGTTGGTCTTTTGTGCGTGATTGTGTCAGGTTTTCAAAACTCATGCCAGAATATCATATGTAATGGTAATATTCTAAGTGATGAAGGTTGCCTAAAACTATTATATTTAAACAGCAACAATCAGTTGTAAAGTTGTGAATAACACACAATGTAACGGGAATAAAATGCCGAAAATTCCTCTACAGAATTTCACTTGACAGTATTGTCATTTATTTGTTTCTTTTCTCTATCTTGTATTTTAACCTTTATCACGGTCTCGTTTTAACCACACTTTACATTCTTAAGTTTTCATTGTCGTAAACTTTATTTGATCTTGGTTGAAGATTTACTTTTGACTGCTTAATTAACTGTTTCATTTTGCCGGACCATTGATAATAAGGTCGTGTTTGACTGAACTGAGGGTCACGGCGCGGTTCAGTGTGACTTTTAACCTTTGAATGCCAGCTTGAAAAGGTTACTGGAATCCTCGAAGATAGATAGATATCTGATTCCATTTTTTTGGGAATATATTCAATGATTCTCAGGTATAGAACACCTATTTGTTGACTATTCCTTTTGTTGTTTAGGACGTTAGTTTATGTTAGAGAAAGTCTTCATTGTATAGCACAGGCTGCACCTTTTGATTCATTTTGTACTTTTGATGCAATGTGTTTTCTTCCTCAAATTAGGATCGCTAAAATTGAACACAGAATTTGTTTAGATATAATTCAAAACAAATCACTCAAAAACGCTTCGTACGCTTAACATAAGAACGTAGTCTGGACTACTCGAATAAACTTTGGTTCGCTAGTTCTGCGTTCAAACTGAATATTGGTATTTCGGTCATTACACATAGTGAAAAAGATAATGTTATAAAGCCATAAAAACTATGAAGGTACATTATATTAAAACTTCTATGAATAATAGACATTTCGTATAATGACACTATTCTTTCTGTCAGGTTTAGTTAATTTTCTTAACGGTTAATCTTCTGCTTTTTTAATATCAGATGACAACGTAGTTTAGATGGTGTCAAGGTTTTAAGTCGGTAACTTTTTCGAATGAAGTTTCAAGATATTACTGGTTACGTATGTGATTGGCTTAAATCTTAAAATACTGAAAATCTCGTTTGAATTATATGAAATGTCTTCAACATTTAAACTAAGACACCAAAAATTGGAAATTTAGGGAAATCATGAACTGTATATGAGAAACGCTGATGTAAACCTTTAAAGAGGAAGTGAAAGTCAGTTAACAATAGGGCAAATTACGAACAAATGTGGTAGTTAAAACATGATGTGAAATGGAACAAACACTAGATTCTTCTTTAACGCTCTTACTTCGTGTATCATCCTGCCCAGATCCAGTGGAAATGCTACTTGATAAAGAACCTTCTCGCCGACGAGTATGTAAAGATGGAACGACTTTAGCATCTGAAAAAAGAGCTCTGAGGACTTAGAAACAATTATTGATCTTAAACTAATACCGATTTTTTTCCTCGAGTTTGGCTAAAAGTTCCAGTTCAGATTGTCTTTTGCACTCCATTATATTATTGGAAACACCTGATCAACATCTGTAAAAGGTTCAATATATTTTTCGACAGAATTCCAGTCGGTAACTCCAGTGAAATAAAGGATAATAGTAACTTTGAGTATTTGTAGAAGAGATCTTTCAATTGTACAAACGTCTCAAACTTTGATCACTGAACACGATTGCAAGGAGTCAACAGAAAAAGAGTTAATTCTTCGATTCAGCCACTTGTCCATATCTTCGTGTCAAATTCTGCTCTATAAGAATAAAAAGGAGAACTCTGAGGATATTGAAAAAGTACACATAATTAGTTACATGGTAGAAATAAATGTTATAAACAAATTGCGTACGTTATGAGTGAAATCACATGAAATACGTGACTGGCAGGAATGAAAAACTTAAGTGTGTGTAACTATTTTTTATCAAATGTTATTGTTATATCCTAGTGAAGATTAAATCACGAGTAACGTCTGAGACTTATTAACTGACTAATATCATTTACACATTCTCATGGTATAAATATTCGGTAACTAGATTATGTGTATTTATATTCCTCTTATTATAAGCTTTATTTTGACCTATAATTTATTATTGTACGATTTACGGTTCTTAAGCTATGTTCAGTTTATTAACTACTGCCTCCCATGTTCATAGCCACTTTTTGGCTTTATTGTGTACAAATGTTATTTCCTATTTTATGGTGCATTGCGGTCTGTTTGATTAATATATAAACCTAGTATTTCTGGCATAAATGATTCAATTCTCATAGTGGAAGCTGATATTGGTGTTCTGGACTCAAGTGGACGGGCTAGGCAGACATAGAACCAATAAGGACGCTAGGCTGCTTATACCGGTCGAACGTCATTGGTTTGGCACAGTACTAAGATTGTATAAGTCGTATTTTGATTGGTGGGTAAATCACGTGGTAAAAAGCCGGACATAAAGTCATAACAGTTATTTTTTGAGATGTAATTACACTTTATCAGGAAAAAACCATTGACTGTTGAAGCTAATGGTCATTTGTGGGAGTTATTACATACTAAAAAATTTTCTGGGATTTGATATAGTCAAGTAGAACTAATTGCAGCCACGTTTTGTAAGTGTCGTTCAAATTCCCTTTGGTGGATAAAACTTACGATAACTGGTATTTATAAAAACTTTTGTAATATCAGAAAGTCAATAATCAAGCACGTAGATACGGTTGTGAGGAGAATCAACTCCATGACCAGATCAAGATGTCTCCGAACTCAAATAAACTTCTGTCCCAAATATTCTCGTAGTTAATAGTTAGTGAGATGGAACTTCCGAAAATCCCTATGTTATTTCTATGATAGGGGATGAGAACTGTTACTTAAGTGAGACTCATAAAAAACCAACTATATATGTCGATTCTAGCTAGTAAGGTATGTATGAAAGTGAAAAGTGAAGAGCATTAGAAACTGCACTTTTTCATAGTGTACAACGAGAGAGAGGATTGGAAGTCGAAAACTCCGAGAAAAACCACAGATATTTATTTTGGGAGACATATTAGATAAAAATTAGCCACATAAAAATGTTATTTAATGACTTTGTAATTGGTCAAATTTTCATTTACCGTACTGTGATCAATAGATCAGCTTTCAATGAACTTAGATAAACCATCAAAATATCGTCAGTAGTTTTCCAAGACAGAGCATTTCTATAATCTTAAAGTTGAATTTTTTTTATTAACAAATAGTTGTTAGAACATAGAGATCACTTTCTTTTTCTTGGACCGTAATTTCAACAACAAATTATTTATTTTATCTAAACAGACAGTGAGAGTTTACACGACAACAAACATGAAACAGCATAATCCAACGATTTTACAAATTTCTACAGGATTATTAATTTACGTAACATTCAGATAGCAAATAAAATCTGATCCAGTGCACCATATTCTTACAAACACAATCTTAAACACAGCAATCACTATGACAAAAGCTTGTTATTCACTCTACAGACACTTGAACAGAAAATCATGTCAGTTTACCGAGATCATCAGAAATCGTTAAAAAAATACAACACGAGTGGCGTAAATCGGTCTCAGCAACAGAGCATACGTTCATTTAACATAATTATAGAAACAGTTCTAACAAGAATACGTAGTAGCTAGCTTAAATTCCACAGTGACACAACTTTCTTCAATTACCAATGATGTGGGGATAGTTGAACTCCAAATGTTTTCACAACTCCCACCGTGGTTCGGTAATGACGTTCGCACCCTCCTAAGTAAGAGGAAGAAGTGTGAGAGATTCAGGTTACTGGGTACTGATGAGACAGAACCTCAATAGCGAAAAGCTCGAAATATTTGTGCCTCGATGCTCCTAAAGTCTAGACGATTGCATGAACAAAAGCTTATCAAATAATCTACAGAATACCCTAAACGCTCGTACTCATACATAAACCAAACGGCCAGGAGAAGAGGCAATATCCAATCATTATGGGGAGACGGCAGTACTACTTCATTAGTGGAATACAATTATGATAAAGCTCGGGTATTCTCAAACTACCAAAAGGACTAGCGAATTTTATCCTACATATAAGTATATGCTTTCACCTATCTACAACCCAAGGTAGATTATATAAACACTGGAGGAATGCCACAGTAAAGCCTGTCTTCAAAATTGGTACGAGACAAACTTAAGAACTATCGACCTGTAAGCCCAAATAGTTGAGAAAATTTTTGAAAAAACTGTTCGAGAATCAAAATAGCATTCGAAAAGGTTAGTTACGTCTCACTAAAATGTCAGTACCCCGTAAAACATATGGATGTAGCCTAAATTGACCTCAGAAAGGCTCTTGACAAACGCATACAAAACCACTTGCCAATTATGCCAATTGATATCGCGATTGGAGGCAACTTACTTGTGTAGCTAAAGGACTTCACAGTTGGGTGTCAACAAACAGTACAGGTGAGGCACACGTCTAGCTAGGGCCTCAGCGTACGGCTTTGAGGACAGTATTCTTCCTTCTCTGTGTAAATGACCTTCCTAGTCTCCTACCACCATCGGTTTATTTACAAGTCGACGATGTCAAAACCATGAAGAGCGATAAAAAGTGAAGGTAATAGTTTCCAGCTTCAAACTGAACTGGAGAAATCGTCTGAATGGTATACAATTTGGCAGTTGCCAACAAATGTTTCCAAGTACATCTTGTTGCCTATTGGTCGCCAAGGTACGGACACATGAATGATGAATAAGTGAGCTACCTGTTTTCCAGATGCACCATGACCCAGATGTTGTCGTTAGTCAAAACTCGAAAACTACTGGATACTGCTGTGCGATAGCCACCAAAGGTTTTGGAACCCTATGGTCAATACGTAGAGCCTTTAGCCATGTCGATGTTGAAACGTTTTCGACTTTGTATACAATGTTTATTGAACCCAAACTCAAGTACTGCATACAAGTGGCTAACCCCTACTTAAAAGGAGATATTGACCTATTGGGGTAGGTTCAAAGAGTCACAGGTAGACTGGTCCATGGAATCACCAAGCTTCCGTATGATGTTCGACTGGCTAAACTAAACCTATGTCCCTTGTTATATGGAAGAACAAGAGGTGACTTAATCCCATCGAATCATCACCGAATGGGACGCGTTACCTCAATATATGATTGGAGCTTCATCTGTTGGCGCTTTCGTATGAAAGTTGGATCAACTGGCAGACCATCATTTCCAGGACTAACATAAACCACTCAGTATTCTGTCCTTTTCCAAACGTGAATATAAATTAGGATAACGAGACAAACGACTAATAGTTAACAAAAATTGGGTGTTCTGATCATGTCAAGACAATTCGATTCACTGCCACCAAAATAAAACACGACCCTTTGTTAATGTAGATTTTCTTCATACACGTGACTAGCTACTTGTTCCTAGTTCTGAAAAGCGAAACGTTGAAGAGGGTAGATAAGTACTAATGCAAAGTCCAAAACAGAGGTGAGACAACTGAAAACTTAGCAACATATCAGCCTGCTAATGGCCTATTGATTACAGATAAGACCAACAAAACATTTCAGTCTTCAGTAAAAAGGGTATGAGGTCTAGCGACTTATACTAATCCTTTCAGTTTTTAGCACTGGAGATATAATCTCATTTTGAATGTATCGACAGAAGGTGCTGACATTACGTTTCCTGGTACAGAACTTCACTAATTCACTACTGGGTGCGAGGAGCGAAACTCCAGATGTAGACTATTTGATCTCGGTTTTTGAATTTTCTTCGAATCTCCTCTTTAATGATCAGTCCTAAATGGAAGGAACCTCAGCACCACAGCTTTACTGGGCTGTTTTTGAGTGCTGACAACAATCGGTAAGTAGATTAGCGTTCAAGATATTTATAGGAAGGGTTTAATTAAACTCCTGATATTAGAATTGTAATATTCAAATATGATAAAGGTTACGAATTAACTCTTTCTTATTAAAGTAAAATATTGGATAAATAGGGATGAATGAAGAGAAATATTTCAATGTACTTACAGGCACACCCAAACCCATGTTTATGAAGCCACGACCACTAAATACTTATCGGCAGTAACGCATTCGTTTGTAAAACGTGCTAATGAGACTAGGTAACTTTAAATGTTTAATTACAGTTTCAGAATGCTGACTGGCTTATGTTAGTCCTGGAAATGATGGTCTGCCAGTTGATCCAACTTTCATACGAAAGCGCCAACAGATGAAGCTCCAATCATATATTGAGGTAACGCGTCCCATTCGGTGATGATTCGATGGGATTAAGTCACCACTTGTTCTTCCATATAACAAGGGACATAGGTTTAGTTTAGCCAGTCGAACATCATACGGAAGCTTGGTGATTCCATGGACCAGTCTACCTGCGACTCTTTGAACCTATCCCAAATGGTTCAAATGGTTGTGGACGGAATAGAAGAAGTTTTCGCTTAACGGGCTTCCGTGTCTAGTAGCAGGGGATCACCAAATCCTCCAGGCAGGAACCTAGGTATGATAACAATAAAAGAGGAAAAGAAATTGGCAAATCATAGTGTGATACTGTCCTTGGTCCTTAAGAATAGGTCGAGTTGCCTCTTGAAGGACTCCTGAGAAGTCGCTTGGACTAGCTCGGCCGGCAGCGAATTCCAGCTTTTGACAACTCTTAAGGAGTAGAATTTGTGTCTACATCCCGTCTTGCTATGTTGAGTTTCCATTTTCTTGGTGTTACCCCTTAGGTTAGCATTCGAACTAAGCTTGAGTAGGTGTTTAAGAGGATGTCCAGAAGTGTTAAGAATACTATAAGTCATTAATAAATCACCTCTAAGACGCCTATACTCTAATGGGTAAAGGTCTAGTGAATGGAGGCGTTCTTCGTAAGGCTTAGATTTGAGTCCGCGAACTGATTTCGTGGCTCGCCGTTGGATACGCTCCAAAGTGACCTTGTCCTTTTGGAGTGAGGGGAGGAAATACTATGTTTCCGTACTCTAAATGGGGACGGATAAAACTATTGAAGATTGTATGGAAAGTTCTTCCGTCAAACTGGCCCAAAATGCGCTTCAATGTTACCAGTGCAAGGTTCGCTCGGTAAGCATTTTTGTCACAATTAGCGTAAGACTTTAAATCATGGGGCACCAGGATTCCTCAATCTTTTTCGACTTGGGATACTACTAGAGAGGAGTTACCTAGGTTGTAACTGTAGTTTGCGACATGTTGCAGATGGACTACTTTACACTTTGAAGTGTTAAAGGTAAGTCCGTTATCATCTGCCCAACTTTGAAGTCGAGTCAGATCCTCCTGAAGTGCCTGTGTATCGTCTTGGTTGCGTATCTCTCTCCAAAGTTTCACGTCGTCGGCAAAAAGTAATAAGTCTGACGTTACTTGTTGAAGAAGATCGTTTATGTAGATCACGAAGAGAAGAGGCCCTAATACTGAGCCATGGGGGACCCCACTAGGACATTCCATAGCCTGAGATAAAGTTAAATTAACCCTAACCTTAAAGTGTCGATTTTCTAGGTATGAAGTAAGCCAATCGATTAGAGGTGCTTTGATACCTAGTCGTTTGAGCTTATTGATAAGACACAAGAGGTTAACTTTATCAAAAGCTTTTGAGAAATCAAGGTAAATGATATCAACCTTTCCCTTGCGATCGAGGATGCTTGTCCATCTGTCCACCGCAGTCATCAGGTTGGTTATACAAGAGTAACCCTTCATGAAACCATGCTGTTGGGGTGAGAAGAAATTTAAGGACAGTAGATATTCGTTTAAACCATCGCATATCAGGGACTCCATGAGTTTTGAAGGTAATGACAGAAGAGACACCGACCGATAACTTGAAGGTTCATTGCGTCGACCCCCTTTGAAAATTGGTGTGATGGCAGAATGAACCATATCCGGGCCAGAAGAAGTATCTAGAATTGAGTGCTGCAGTTTCCGGAACACCAAGTCAGCGCTTAAGTCCACTTCGGAAAGTCCTGTGGAATTGCAGATGAAACTGTCGTCAATAGAGTTGATGTCAGCCGGCTGAAATGTTTGAGAGTAATGTGCCGCCAGAAGGTTAGCGGTGTCACCATCGTTGTTGGTCGGGCCGTTAAGACCTAGCAGTTGAGAAACTCCTGTTTTGGCTTGACGAAGAGAGGCTGCATAACGGAATAGGCTTCTAGGGTTCGAGGCAAATTTGTCCATAAGCTTTGTCTGATAATGAAGCCTGTCTTCTCTTATAGTCTTCGTGCATATGTTCCTGATATGTTTGTATTGCCTATACGCTCCGTCGTTGTCAGTTCGTTTGTATTCCGCCCAACAGTGCCTTTTACGGCTTAGCAGGCGAAGGGTACGGTTCTTGATTATTGTAGGTGACTTGCAGCTTTTGGGAACCGTTTGAGGAATTGTATGGTTTGTAGCACATAAGAGCGTGTACAGTAAGAAGTCCCAATGACCGTCCACATCGAGTTGGGGGTGAACATCCCAAACCACCTGTTGTAGATAGTCATGTAGAGCTGGTACATTCAGCCGTTTAAAATTCCAACGCAAATTATTGTTGGGATACCTTAGCTTAGTTTTGTTGACAAAACTGAAGGCTATGACAGCATGATCGCTCTTTCCCAGAGGAGCCAGGATTGAGAGGTTGTCAACTAGGAATTCTTCGTTTGTGATTACACAGTCTAACCGCGATGGTGTCTGACTGTTTCTCCAACGAGTTGCCGACCTCACATTTTCATATAAGCCCAAGTCATCGATGAGGTTGAAGAACCGAGCTTCAATTGAGTTGTCGCCTCCAGTATACGTGTGTTCCGCGAAGTTGACTCTAGGGAGATTAAAGTCCCCTAGAATCAGGATGTGTGTGAAACCGAGACGGGTAGAGCGGCATAGTCCATCCAGCATACGACTATCGTACTCGATGTCAGCAGTTGGCTTCCTGTAAATGACACCGGCTAGACACCTCGAAGTACTAGACAATCTTAAAGAGCACCATATGGATTCCTCAAGATTGTTAAACTCGAGGTTGTGAACTTGATGCACCTCCAAGCAAGAGCTTATGTATATGGCTACTCCGCCCTCAATTCCTGTTGTTCTGTCGTTGCGGAACAAAGTCATCCCTGGTAATGCTAACTCTTGGTCCGAGAACTGAGAAGATATCCAAGTTACAGATATTCCTATCAGGTGGGCTTTATTAGCGTTGCAAAGTTCACGTAATTCATCCAGTTTGTTTGGTAGACTCGAGGCGTTCATATATAAGCAGTTTATGCTTTCAATTTGGGACGCGCGAGCTTCGTCCTGTTTTCCTGTATGAGCCTTATGTGAATGGACAGGTAGCCCACCTATGTGAGGTTTACCGAGGTGGTAGGCCCTGTCCTTTACACGTTTTTTTATCGTTTGGACAATCCACAAGTGGAATGGTCAGCTCCAACTTGCGTTTGTGCTTGGTCCTGCCTTCATATGAACTATCCGGGTGCATGTGGATTCCAAGTGGCAACGGACTTCTGTTGGCACGAAATGCTTCCAGAACTGCAGCCGCCATGTGGGGAGATGGGAAGGTCAATATCTCCTTTTAAGTAGGGGTTAGCCACTTGTATGCAGTACTTGAGTTTGGGTTCAATAAACATTGTATACAAAGTCGAAAACGTTTCAACATCGACATGGCTAAAGGCTCTACGTATTGACCATAGGGTTCCAAAACCTTTGGTGGCTATCGCACAGCAGTATCCAGTAGTTTTCGAGTTTTGACTAACGACAACATCTGGGTCATGGTGCATCTGGAAAACAGGTAGCTCACTTATTCATCATTCATGTGTCCGTACCTTGGCGACCAATAGGCAACAAGATGTACTTGGAAACATTTGTTGGCAACTGCCAAATTGTATACCATTCAGACGATTTCTCCAGTTCAGTTTGAAGCTGGAAACTATTACCTTCACTTTTTATCGCTCTTCATGGTTTTGACATCGTCGACTTGTAAATAAACCGATGGTGGTAGGAGATTAGGAAGGTCATTTACACAGAGAAGGAAGAATACTGTCCTCAAAGCCGTACGCTGAGGCCCTAGCTAGACGTGTGCCTCACCTGTACTGTTTGATGACACCCAACTGTGAAGCTGAACAGGAGACAACTGGCAAAATTGATATTTAATATTTAACGTAAAGAAAATCTTGACGATGTAGAATGTGCGAACAAGGAGTTGAAATAATTCGCACTGATCGGATTGCATGTCTAGGCCCTGCTGCCCTGGCTATCCTTGAATGTTGTTATACAACTTTTATTCATATTTAAATGTTTTGTTCTACCTCTAGCGTAAGTGTCCTCTCCACCATATATTGATGATTTTTACGATGCCAGGACTTTTTGTGGATAATAATGTGACTTTCACGTAAGATCTAATATATTAGGCAGTTACATCATGAAAAATGTACAATTTTAGTATTAGGTCTATTATTATAGCAGTACTTATATCATAGTAGAACATAGTTATAAACAAGTCAGTTGCCTTCAAACGCAATATCACTTGACAAAGATGGCAAGTAGTTTTGAGGGCTTTTGTCAAGAACCTTACTGAGGCAAATGTTGACCACATCTATAAGTAAATTTAGATCATTAAGATTGAATCAACTTTCACGGTCCTCTAATATATTAGTACCATGTGAAATATGCCGTCTCGGTAAATAATTCTCAGAAATAGTACTTACGTTTGTTTTAGACTTTCTTGCTGATACCATACGTTTTAATGGACACATCAAGCTCAATACGCCAGTCAAACATTCGCATCCGTTTACTAGTGTGTACTCATTACTGCAACTCCGCCTGGAGTCCCTTTGAAGGTTACTGTCGGTCTTAAGCCCGGATTAAGGAGGAGGGTTGGAAGTAGGGTTAGCGTCCCCATCCCGTAGAAAACTAACTCGCTAAAATAACGCTAACCAGAAAAAGTTATTCAAACATTTTAAACTCAGCCCCGGGAGTCAAAAGGTCTTCATTTAGAAGAACTATGATGCCTCATGATAAAAGCCGAATTCCTTCTGAAGTTACGAGGCCGATGCCCCTTGTGACAACCAGAGCGACCATTTATTTATGTACACGGAATGTTCTTACAATGTGGGACACCGGGAGAGCCCTCCAAATTGCTG